AGACGTATTGTAAAGCTAGGCGTATAGTAACCCCCGTTTCCGGAGGGGACTTCGTATAAAGGGCGTAATAGTGAGAGAGCCCTAATCCTAGGTAAGAGACTAGGGATAGAACTCCCGTCGCTAGCGCGGGCGCTCCTTAAGCGAAGGTTCCGCGACGGCTGGCTCTCCCTCGAGGGATGACTCGTCGGACTGGCTATCGTGAGAACTACCGGACGGCCCGGTAGGATTAGGGGAGGATTCTAATACGGCCGGAGAGGACGACCCGTCGGATTAAGCTCCCGATACCACCGTACTCTAGGCTAACTAGTAATAGAAGTCGTCTAGGTAATAACGCCGCTAGCTAAGCGTGAGGGCCGATGCCGGGTTATCTTCCTACTTAGTAATAGGGAGATAGGGTATGACTTCCTTAGCGATATCGTAGAAGTCTTACTAGAGATATGCCGTATTAATAGCCCGATTCTACTTCTAGAAGAAGAGATCGCGGGATTACGCCTAGGTACGGGCACGAGTAGAGAGTTTTAAGTTCTTCGTAGTAAGTAAGATCGATGCGCCTTAGAAGTGGGTAAGCCCGGCCTTAGTAGAGCGAGCCTGAATGACGTCCTAGAGCGTAGGGAGGAGGTCGGCCTAAAGTAAGTAGTGGAAGTCCTACGTGTACGAGGCATCGGGTATCCTACGGGCTCGACCTTCGACCGCTACGGCGGTACCGTTTAACCGGATATACTCCGCACTCGATAGTAGATACTAGATAGTCGCACCGGGGTAGATTTTTTCTAGTGACGGGAGAAAGATTTAGTTCGTCTAGGTTTTATATTCCTCCCGCGTAATTACCTAGTGGTCCCGGGTGGGGTTATAAAGTCCGGGGAAGATAAGATAAAGTTTAATCTCACGGAAACCAGCTAGTTCTCTAAAGGGGAGGTAGGGAATCTGGTGAACTGGCCGATAGCGAGTACGATGCCGTCCGCTAGAGGGGTTATACTAGCGAATAGGTAGATAATTAAGGTAGAGTGAACTCTGAAGGTTACTAACCGCGGTACGGCCCGCTTTTTATATAATGCCTTCCCGAGTAATGGCTAAACTCGAGGTAAGTCCCCCGGCACTATCCACGTCGAGCTAGACCTCGAAGTTCTCCGTATCCCCGATATTGTCGGACTTAAGATTAAGATTAATAGGCGGAGAGGGAGGAGCTAGCTCCCCCGGAGGTGCTAGAGGACTATTAACTAGGCTAGTGAAGACCTTCCGCCGTTGCTCGATAGGAAAGAGGGCGTTCTAATCGACCCCGTACTAGGCGATTTTTAGCTAAGAAAGAACGTTAGGGTAGGCCTACGCACTAATCGTGGATAGCGACACTTAGTCAGAGGTAGAAGCTGGTATCCTACTAGGGTGCTACGGGCATCGGTGTGTATGTTCGAGCTGGTCGATAAGGCTCGTAGCGAGTGGTTTAGGAGGGAATTAAGGAATATATACCCTCCGCGCGATAGCAAACACTTGGTCGAGTGGCTGTGATAAGGGTATATCGCCACTAAGGGAAAGAGGTGGTGGGCTTAGGCCCGGCTTAGCGCTCGGTGATGCTGTTTCGACGGTAGGGGAAGGCGGTCGATTAGTTCGGGGATATTCTATATATTTATGAATTAGCATAGTAGAATGATTCGAGCACTAGATAATAAACCATCCGTGTTTAGCTGCTCATTATTTAAACCGGGAACATCTTCGTCTCTAAAGACTAGTTCTGCTACCGGCTCTAAGGCCGAGGTAATAAAAAGAAGATCCGTCTCGCGTAGAAGTAATATAGTATCTAGGGCTTTATAGACATTATCGAGAAACGTTCTAGCGGGCTTATCGGCTAGGCGAGGCTTAGGAATGGCACGAGGGTCATAAAAGAGAAAATAAGGGACGGAGTCGGTTAGGGTTAGCCGATTTTCCTACTAGTTACGGCGACGAGCTATATAAGCCCGCTATCGAGCGCGGTCGTCTTAGTGTCGCCGAGGACGCCTACGAGGGGGTATATCGAGGCATCCGGCTTATAGATTTAAAAGAGAAGGAATAAATTTACCGATCTTATGGGTAAAAGTGATCATAATGTGACTAATTATTTACCCCGCGCTGATGCTATCTAGCAAACGGCATATATAGTAATTTAATAGGCCCGATTAATCTACTTAATCTATTTGGTTAGGCACTCGAAATTTAGGGTCTAGCCGCCCCCTATTTCCCTATTTCTCTCGTTCTCTTCTACCCCCTAACCCCTTAGTAGAGCTATATCGCGCACGAAGCCCCTACAAAAAAATATCGATAACCGGCACCGAAGCGAGTGGACGCTAAACGGACGCTAGGTCGCGATCGACTATGAGCTTAAACCAGCTACCTAGTACTTTAAAGGTTAGAGGACCCTATAGGACGTGGAAAATCGAGAAAGTTCGAAGCGATCGAGCTCGAAAAATAATATAGGATATTTAAGGTAAATATCGAATGAGATAATTCTAATTACGAGGGAGGCTTTTAATATAACTACGGGAGTAGATTATTTACGTCGCGAAGCGTCAATCGAAGCCGCCTAGCATAGCTGACGGGCACGAGACTTAGGAAGAGTCACGGAAATATTTAGTTTAGAGGATGGCGATCACACTCACCGATCTCTAGCACGGTCGTAATTAATATCACCGTCGCCACGACCGTCGGGATGGTTAGCCAGACTTAAGAGTAAGGCGGTCCTACCTATATTAAGGTCGAGTAGTATCTATAGGCACGAAACTCCACGAAACACCGAAATAGTTCGATCGGATTAGCGGGATATACCTCCACCGGCGGGACCAGACCACTAGAGTATATAAAGATCTTCTCCGTATAACGGACGTCCTACGATTAGGGAACAATCGAGTTAACCGAATGTCTTTGGATTGGCCGATCGTCTATCATCACTATTAAGTCATATTAGCTCTCTCTAGACTAACCGTGGTGGAGGGCTTGACCCGGCCACCCTACACGAGATACTTACTCGACCTATAGAGACTATACCGGCAGACCAGTCGAGTAACCGTATCTATAAGTGGATACTACGAGTTGCGAGCGTACGAGCCTCCTCGGTTACTAGTATTAGGAGTGAGATAGCCACGAGGATTGGCGACTAGGGACCACCTAATCATAATAGTGAGGGACAGGCAAGCCTTATATCAACGAGACGAGAGACAACCGCTAGGGAAGAGGGGTTAGACGATCGACCCGACCCGACGCAAGATAATACGGATACTAGTGTGATCCACGGAATCAACGTGAATGATATGCTGGTAACTCGGCAGGGACGCAGACTAGAATTACTTTCACGAGGGTCACTAAGGAAACCCGACCCTTCCTTCTAGGTAGAGAGGCAAGAAAGGGAGTTCGAGCTTCTCAACCATATAAGAAGGAACCCACTTCCGGGAGGCCCCGGGCAAAGACGTAGTGCCGGTCGACCACAGGGCCATCGCCTAAAATGGCGGAAACGGGAGGTGAAGCGGCTATTGAGGCTATGGTTTGAGTACGGAAACTCCTGGTCCCGAATTAAGGCGATCGATAACCAGTCGGCGGAGCCGCAGTTACAGGATCGGACCTAGGTTAATCTGAAAGACAAATTGAGGACGATCAAGGCCTAGATGTTAAGGTGAGATAACGAAACTAGACAACGGAGGGGATTCTAGCTGATGTTTTCTATCCTAGGCATAGTATCCTAATCCCGACGGAGTTTAGGCAGATCACAATAAGCCCGGCGGTACTGTAGCGGATTGCGAATACATTAGGAGAAATCTAAGTAGTTTACGATAAAAATGAATGATGTCTGATTAAGACTGTATATGACGTTGATTTTGAGGGTTAAAGCTTTAGTAATTTGTTGAAATCGGAATGTACCCTCCGGGGGCTGTTAGAAAATGCCAACTGATGAATGCCAAATATTCTATGGCAACTGTCGCAACCACTCATAAACCCGTCTCCTCTCCTATATAGAGGATTAATTCCGCGAGATTCTTAAGGTTGGCGGTTTCGTTGAGGCTATTGAACAAAAATGGGTTTCAATGGCTTCGGTGGAAATGGGGTGGACTAACTAACAATTGGAATACTGTTAGGGGTCTAAACCCCTAATGTGGACTAATTAGACTTAGCGTAAAGTTAAATCCACGAAAATAACTACTTCGGGAAGGCGATCCTTCCGCCGTCCCACCCAACTCCAATTCAGAATCGATGAAAACAGGCCAACTTAAAACACAAATAACCCAACAACCAGAAGAGATAAAGATAATTAAATTACTGTTTTGAAATCCTCATATTTTACTCTATAGATTGGTATTTTTTATAAGTTCAAATTTCTTATGTGTTATGTTGCCTCAAGGGCACGATTTGCTATATCGATTGGTTCGTTGTTTGGTCCCAAGGGGGCTAGCAATATGCACCTGCATGGATCAAGATAACGCTCTTTACTACGGTACTCCACCGGGTCACCACTCCCCCTCGCAAGATGGGTCCACTGCGTCTTGTCTTTCGCCGACTTTGCTAATCCTGGTAAGATGTTTGTACTTTCTGCGCCTTCCTCGTATCCACAACAGAAGAATTTTAATTATGTAAAGTTAGATTTAGTCCATGTTCGCGTCTTTCGCATCTGTACCAGGTCTCATGCTTCATAAGACTTTGACCATCTCTTTGCAGATTCCCCTAGCTTTGCGCCCTGAGAAGGGACCTTGAAGCTGTAGAAATATGTGTTAGAGCAACAGAGTCAGTTTATCCGGATATGTCATACTTTGAGCCTAGTAACCGGTATTTCCTACTGTACAACGAATCGCGAACATATTGAAATCGACAGCATGTTATGTCATCGTGGAGGGGGTCGAAGGCTTATGAAACACTGATGTACCTAGCCTCACACTACCACTACGCTTGGTAACCCCTCCTCCCTCCTTAACCTCCCGGGCCCCGTCTTTTTGTTTGCTGTGGCCAGCACTGCCTGATCCTCGTCAGAAATAAAGAATTTGGTCGCTATGAATCGAGGATACCAACTTGGCGTTGACGTTGGCGGTACCTTCACCGATGTATATGTCCTCACTCCTCAGGGTCAAACCGTCCGAGCTAAAGTCCCAACCACAATCCCAGACCAAAGCATTGGTATTCAAAATGGCATCAAGAAAGCACGAGAAATCCTAAAAGTCCAATTCAACTGGTCTGGAAAGTTCCAGTTCATTCACCATGGCACTACGACAGGCACCAATGCTGTCCTAGAGGGCAAAGGCGCCCGTACTGCGCTCGTGGCCACAGCTGGCCACAAAGATATTCTGGCTCTGCGTCGCTCTCAAATCCCCGGTGGTCTGGGCGCCTGGTTACACTTTACTCCGCCAGAGCCTATCGTGCCTCTCGAACGGGTAGTGCAATGCAAGGAGCGGATGTCAGTGCATGGAGAGCCGGTTAAGGCGGTGGATGTTGAGGATCTTCGACAGAGTCTCCGAGTGTTAAGAGGACAAAACCCCGAGGCTGTTGCCGTATCACTGTTGAATTCCTACAGTAATGCCTCCCACGAACGTGTGGTTGAGAAAATTATCCACGAGGAGCTGGGCTCCAATGTGGCCGTGATCTGTTCTGCCGATGTATTGCCCGAGGTGGGCGAGTACGAACGCACGGTGACAACCTGCACAAATGCGCTCGTCAAGCCGGTAGTCCAGACATATCTTCGGAATCTGGCTGATAAGCTCACCGTGGAAAGTGATACTATCCGGGTACTCAAGAGCGACGGTGGCTTAACTAGCTTGGTGCTGGCCGGGGAATTACCCGTCACAATTCTCATGTCGGGTCCAGCTGGAGGAGTGACTGGAGTGGCGGACGTGGTGGCTCGTGGTACACCGTACAAGAGTCTGATCACTCTGGATATGGGTGGCACCTCGACAGATTGCGCTTTGATTTATAACGGCCAACCTCAGCTACGACGGGAAACTACCATCGACAACCTGTCTGTTCGCTCTCCTGCCGTGGATATTCACACCGTTGGAGCCGGTGGAGGCTCGATTGCGACATATGTGGAGCTCACAGAGACGTTGCGAGTGGGCCCTGAAAGTGCAGGCGCATCACCAGGACCTGCATGCTATGGAAATAATGGGACTCAGGCAACGGTGACGGATGCAAATCTTGTTTTGGGATATTTGCCAAAAACCTTGTTGGGAGGAGATTTTATGTTGGACATGAAGGCTGCAATTGCCGCTGTTGAGAACATCGCGTCGCAAATTAATCTCCCAGTCTCCCAAGTCGCAGAGGATATCATCGCTCTCACCAACGAAACCATTTACGGGGCACTGCGTCTCGTCTCCGTGGAGCAGGGGTATGACCCTCGAGAATTTGCTCTGGTGGCTTTCGGAGGCGCTGGACCCCTGCATGCAAATGCTGTTGGTGAATTGCTTGGGGCATGGCCAGTAATCATCCCGCCTTCACCGGGCATTCTGTGCGCGCAGGGCGATGTGACTACTAAGATGACACTCGAGAAATCTGCCACCTTCATTCGATTAGTGTCTGAAACAACCGCAACCACAGTCCGAGACCAGTATTCTACATTGGAGAAGCATGGCCGGGAAACCCTTGAAAGATCAACAAGTACATCGTGGTCCATCACATGGAAGGCACAATATCAGGCCGATCTGAGGTACAAAGGCCAGGCGTTGACAATCACGGTCAATCTGGAGGCAGAAGAGCTAGCTCTCAGCACTGCAGAGTGGCACAATGTGTTGCGGGAGAAGTTTGACCGCCAGCACCAGCAGCTTTTCACGTACTGCCTACCGAACTTTGAATTGGAGTTGATACGGCTGGGAGTTATTCTGATTGATGACTCGCCTGTCGTTGCTACTCCACACATCGAAAAAGCGTTGTCTAGTGAACCAGCTCCGACAGCAAAGCTTGGGGAGCAGACCATCATCGTACAAGGCCAGCCGCAAAAGGCTATACTCTGGGATCGCTCAAAGATCAGTCAGGAGGGTGTCCGGTTGAATGGGCCATGCATCATCACAGAGATGGATAGCAATACATTGGTTCTGCCCGGCTACTATGGAGAGATCGATAGCGTGGGGAATATCCTGATCAACCCATCAGATAAGTCTGCGGATGCGACCAGTCATACAACCCAGTCTGCTAGTGATCTCGTCAAAAGCACCCCTTTAATTCCCACCTTGATCTCTGCTGCCCTCGCCTCTATCAGAGGCGAGATGGATAAGATGATGCTACGGTGCAGCATGTCGCCAGCTATTCGGGAGCAACAAGACGAATTCAATGTTATTACAAACAGTAAGGGACAAATGCTGGTTGGCCAGTTTGGCAGTTTCATCACCCAGTTCCTCGAAATTTGGAAAGGAACCATCGAGGAAGGCGATGTATTCATCACCAATGACACCTACCAGGTGCAAGGTGCCATCAGCCATCTGAATGATGTTATTGTTTTGTTGCCTATCTTTTATGAGCATAGAATCATTGGCTGGGCTTCGCAATTCGGCCACCTGACAGACGTCGGTGGTATTGTTCCCGGAAGCATGTCTATTAACGCCACCTCCGTGTTCGACGACGGTGTCCAAATTCCCTGCCTCAAACTGTACAGTCGCGATGTCATGAACTCCGATTTAGTGGAGCTTCTGTGCAGAAATTCTCGTCAGCCAGATTGGTACCGTTCGGATCTAACAGCCATCGTCGCAGCATGTTCAATGGCTGCTAGAAGAGTTTGCGAACTGGCTACCCGTTTCGGCTGTGAAGTTTATCTGGCTGCCTCAGATGAGCTATTGCACCGGAACCGTGCTGGACTGGCAAAGATCATTGAACGACAGTTTGACGACAAGGAGAGCAATTTCACGGACTTTGTTGACGATGATGGTCACGGAGTTGGACCTTGGGCTCTCTGCTGCTCTATGAAGAAGATTGACGGTCACCGGCTGCGGTTTGACTGGCACGGCACTTCTCCGCAAAGTCAACACAGTATCAATTTCTATCTCTCGGAGACTATGTTCAAGATGTTCATCGGGTATTATCTCATTGCGGCTGCTGCCCCGGGTACAGTCATCAATGATGGATTCCACGACCTTATCGATGTCCATATTCCTGGAGGCACTGTACTCAAACCCGTCAGGCCCGCGCCAATTTCTTGTCGTACACATCTCATGGGTCGTACCTTGGATATTATTCAAGCCCTGATCGGTCAGAAAAACGAAGCATACCAGGCTGCAGCAGGATTCAGTGACTCTCCACACTTTTTCTATTCCGGCTTCAAGCCTGACGGCGAATGGTTCCAGCTTTACCAGATCGGATTCGGGGGTGTCCCTGCCCGCCAGGCTGGAGACGGTCCTGATTGTCACTGCCTTTTCCCTGCAATCAAGTCCATCCCCACAGAAAGCATTGAGCTCAATTATCCATTGCGTATTGAAGCAAATGAAAGCGTCGCCGACAGCGGCGGTCCAGGTTTCTACCGTGGCGGAAACGCCCAACGCACTGAATATCGTTTTTTGTGCCGTGGTGAATTCAGTCTCCACGATGATCGGTGGTTTACCAAGCCATGGGGTCTGAAGGGAGGAAAACCAGGCCAGAGATCACGAAAGACCTTATACCGGTACTCAAAGTCAGCTGAAAATCCACCCATTGAGACTCTTCCCTCGAAATGCGACCATATTCGCGTTGACGTTGGTGATCTTCTCGAGTGGGTGACTTGGGGTGGAGGCGGGCTGGGCGATCCTTTGACACGACCTGCCGAAAAGGTCGCACTCGAAGTCCATCGAAAGCTTGTTACGTTCGATGGAGCACGCACGGAGTATGGTGTCGTCGTGAATAGCGACTATACCGTAGACTGTGCGGCAACTGAACAGCTACGCGCCAGGATGCAGATGGAGCGTGCTCAGTTGGGCGAGCTTCCGGTTTACGATCGCGGTGGAAGTATCGAGGAGTTGCAGGAAAAATGCCTTGAAGAGACAGGACTTGCTCCCCCTTCACCTCAATGGGAAGTCGAGCTGTATGGGCCGCATTCAGGGAAGGAGTATGTCAAGACGTGGTACGCCGATATGAAAGTTCAGAAAGGGTGGAAGATCGATTAGAAAGTGTACATGAGAGTAGATTCGCCGAGAATATTGGAGTTGAGAGAACTCTTTCAAGAGGATGATTATTGAAAAGACGATTCGAAAGAGAAAGTTCACTCTGCGTGTAAATCATAGGGGATGGCGTTTTCTATCGATACGACAGTCCGAATACATCTTGAGGGATCTGAAAGTCTACCAAGATGCACATTACCCATAGTAGTGTGGGGAAGAGAATAACGGCGAGACTAATAGGGTTTATTGCATTTCAAGGGAAAAAAAACCCCCGAACTTTGATGAGACCCGTCCGTGGCTGCTCAGTGTGTGTTGATCCCTGCGTGCGGTGTCCATTCCCTGCGAGAGATCTCGGCCGTTGCGTCATGGCAGAATCAGCAGGGTATGCACGACCTTTTTGTTCTTTTTGAAGTATCAAGACTCATCAATGCATCTTGAAGGGCCACAGCCACATTCATTTCGATGAATCCTGCTCTGTTTTTCTCATGGATAAGGCGTTAGAGGTAGATATGGACGAGAGTATTCAAGACGTGATCAGTCTTGTCAACGGTACGGATGAGATCATTCAACTGGTCATCAGTCTTGTCAATGAACCGATTGATACTCTCAATCTCTTGCCGTATCTCCTCATACTTATTGGCACAGCACTCGATATCAACATGGTACTGATCGAAAAAATTATGAGGCTCAGGGCCGAATTTTCCTCGGCCATAGCTTGGAGGAGGGCGGAGAGCCTTCGTGAGGTCCGCCGACTTACCTCCAGCTTCTCTCGAGACGATGCAAGCTGAACGCTAAAGAGCGTCCCATTTGGTGCGCCGTCATGGCCATTCCGCAAAAGAGCTCCCCGGGACTTAGATGAATGACATTATACCAGCGGCACTTGAATACATGGCTCTTCTGACGCTGCCAGTAAGTTTGCAGCAAAACACCGATAGGCTCGTGAGGACATCAAAACGTATCACTGGGCGGCTGGCTGCTTCCCTATCCGTTACGGGGACGCTGTCTGTAGCGAAGTGCGTTTAACGACTTCTTTCACAATACGATGATACATATTGTCTTGTCAACTTTCCGGAGTCGGGCCAGACCATGGCGTTGAATCATTATATGAAGCTTCGGGCTCGGCATCGGGCAGCGTACTGGCCACCGGAGAGGGTCCACCGCCACGGGCCAAGAACCGCCTATTTGGGCAACTTGATGCGCCACAAATTAGTCGACCATATGATCAACCCGAACCTGTCGCCTCCATAGAGGCGAGAAGAGACCGAAAGTGACCCCTCTCACCTTACCAGAAAATATCCAACCCATCAGTTTCTCAGACTTGTCCAAGTCCTTGAGCAGAGCTATATCAACTGCGTCCTCATAACGGGAGTTCATTCCCTGTGCCATGAATCCATGTGCTATGGCGGGTTGTCCCCGGCATTCATCAAAGAGTGGCGGTTGAGTTGGTCAAATCTGTGCGAATCTGTCACGAGACGTTGGCCTGCAATTTGCAGATGCTGTATATGGAAAATCCAGTTTTATATAAGCGTTTAAGTGTTTTACTAGACAGGAGCTCTAATGGATAGATGCTAGAGTAACTCCGTATATTAGATTCAATGGTTGTTGGAATCTACCATATTCTACAATCTGGAAAGGAAGCCACAGCCCTATCAAAGTTCTGACAGTAAAAGCTACTCTATAAGTTGAATCTTGACAAACCGAACCCCAGTTACAGTATTTGCTACAGGCTGTTGTATTGCGGCTTCTATAATTATCAGCCGGGCTACCTGGCTCTTCCTTTCTCAACAGATTTCAGAAATTTAGTGTCTTTCTATATTGCTCGTGCTGTGGGCCTTGTGAGAAGGTGATACAATAACGCAGACAGAGCTTATGGGTTATCTTCGGCTGACCTTTTGTGTGATTCTCTGCTAGTTGATCAAAGCAATTCCAAGCATCACCAGAGCATCTCCCGATTGATGAAGTATTCTTAGTTCTGCTATTCCTGTTTCACTGTCTCCCATACTTGGGTTACAACGCTACAAGGTAGAACTGCGCGCTCAAGGCTTAGACTGGAGTCTCCTCCACCGACAGGGTAAGCTACTAGAAAAATCCAATCAACCCAAGGGTAGATACGATCGGTTGTTTCCTTGCTCGCCACCAGATGTGTTCTCTTGTAGGCTGTCGTGCTCCGAGCAGCCCTGCCAAATCAAAGAGCTTGACGTGCCACAAGATTGGAAGCATGAGATACTGGCGGCTTAACTTGATTTGCAATTGGACGGAGAGGATCCATTTGTCGTTCGAGGCAAGTACATCCCACATGAGCTAAGCCATCCCTGCCAAGCCCGGTAAGATGCCGGCAGCAAGTCTAAGCGCCCAACCCCACTTAGTACACAGTACGGAGTACAAGCTGGGATGCGAGATTGTAGCACCTCTGCCAACCCGAACTGGGCCTCATAGAATTGCAAAAATATTGGAAACTCCCTCATAGAATACTATTACGACTTTCAGAATTGATGACTACCCTTCGCATATTTACTCAGTGCTCAGGGCGGGGCAACCTCATTAACCGCGCAACCACATCAGAGCGCATACGTAGAGCTGGAAGAGGGAATCTCTGGTTAGATGCTTCGAAGCCGCAATCCAGCGGGTTCAATATAGGCATTTACGCCATCTGTTCATGCGCCTCCTATTGACTGCTTACTAACTTTTTACCAGCAGTTGTCCAAGGTCCGTGTCCTAGGCTCCACCAAGGGGAGCCAATGTGGGACCCCTGAAACTCTGGCATATCAACGACTGACAATGGAGCGGTCTGATCGCAAACGGAAGTTCCAGATGCAGCTGTGGGTTTTTCCGAACCACTGCAGGCGCCCCCAACCCTTGCCTTAGAAGTCCAGTTTCTCAAAGCAGTTCCCAGCCGAATCTAATAGGAGTGACGCACTGCTGACGATATCAAAAGTTGATTTCAAATCTCAACCATCACACTGACTGTCGGTGGACGGTCCTCAGACAGAGATACGAGATCCCTGTTGCATTGGACGCGTATAAAAGCTGCGGCCTCTGAGAAAATAAAAGCAATCAATGCCAGTGAGTAGGGAGACTTCGAAATACTAGGCTCAGGTTTGTCATCCCCGAAATCCAAGTATGTGGGAAGCATATCTCGATCGATCGTGGTAGTTATATTGGAAGGTAGGAGTGCATGGTCGGAAGCACATGGGCATTGATATAGACCGTAATGGCCGGACAGGCCGTTACAGTCTGTCGTACTTTTTACTATGGGGTGCACGGACAACACTGAAAATGGAGTAGTGCGAAAGGGGTTGATGGCTGCTGATCGACAGATTACACGATAGCATAACTTGTCTGTCTTGAGCTGAGGCGGTGTCATTCCGGCCAACAACGCCAGCATCTGACATGTTCCCAATTTGAGTTTAACTATTGTACAGTGACCATGTTTGGGAAGCTTCTTTGGCTGCCATCATCTTCCTCGTCTGTATTCGTCGCCACTCTAACCGCCTCAACTTCTTCCTCAGTTGGCAGGTTTACAACCATGAGATAAAGAACATTCTTCAAGATCTTTCTGGGCATTATCTCCAGTCCTTTCATCTGGGCTTGTAGCTGGTCTCGTTGCAGCTGGAATTGCTGCTCGTAGGTTGCGATGTACTCGTGTTGCTGTTGTTCGGAGAAGCCCATGGCTCGGAACTGAGTGCGGAGCAGCTCCAACTGGCTGTCTTGTTGTTCATAAATAATTTTTGCCTGCTGCTGATATAAGCTTTTCGTGTCTTCCATTGTCTTTTTTGGGTCCCTTGCGAGATGCCCGCCTGATATCAAGCCAAGAAGACCTCCATTACTAGCTGGGTGATTAGGATCGAGGAATCGGTTCTTAAATTTAGATTCAGGGGCTGAAGATAAAGCGTCATGGTTGCTTTCACTAGCCTATTTCAATTTGTTACCTGAAGCCTCCGTGTCAGAAAGTTGAGAGACTTACATATCTTGCCCGGGCGCGTTTATCGAAGTAGCCATTCAGCTTGTTCCAAGGTTTCTCTTTCTTTTTTATTTCAAAGTTCTCATCATCGTCCGAGAAAATCAGGGGTGCGATCTCGGATGGTAAATTTTGCTCTCCTTCCGTAGTAGCAGATGACGGGTTACGCAAGATTTTCGTGACTTTCTCTGGCCATTTGCTTCGAGATGGACCGGAAGCCCCGCCGGCAGATGGTCTTTTTATCGACGTCTTGATATCTTCTTGCTGTTGCTGTGGGAGAGGGTTGTATGTCACAATCATACAGTAAAGTCCTCGAGGACAAAATAGTTCTCGATTCGCCTGATCTATAAAGGTGTTCATTCTGGCCAAGGAGCATTAGACAAAGGTTATTTTCGAAGGATGCCTGCGCCAGATCTACTTCCATCTAATTTGTGCCTTTGCTGCGACTGCAGATACTATCTGCACTGCAGCTGTCGCGCCCATAGAGATTTGATTTGGCACGAACGAAGCCCCAAATGCTGCAATTTGCACCGCAGCAATCCATTTAGAGGCCTGGACTGCTTTATTCAGAGCGTTGATGAAGTCATGAAAGTGTTCTTGGCTAATGCCACATTGCGATAATATTGGAGCATATGCCTTCATGAAACCTCGCTCTTTGTTTCCGGGTCGTCGTTGAGGGACCACGACAGGGCAGGCAAGTTTTCCACAAGAAGGAGTTACCGGGATTCTGGAATTGCTTTCAATGAACGAGGTGATTGCTGCGTCGGCTTCCTCTTCTGTTGCGGCATCAGTCGGTGCGCCATTTTCCTCATCAAAGTCTGTAGACATGGGGGTTTCAAGGGAACCTTCGTGGTCGATGAAATTGGAAGAGCCAGAAGCCATTTTCGATTCATATGAATTATTAAATCCAGTAGCGGGGCCTTCACTTTATACCTTAGGACATATGCGTAAGCTGGATGTACAAGAGCGCAGTCGCAACAATGCCTCGATTTGGAGAATAGACATGATTATTTGGGGGCCAAGGATAAGACCTAGCCAATTAGAGCTGTAACCTGCTGCTAATTTCAGGACTAGTCTTGGTGCTCTCTGAAATGCCTGCGCCTCTGACGTAATAAACTACTGTTCAGGCCATAGTTAAGTTATGTTAGGGTGGTCCCCTGTTGATGACTAACGTTCTGCCACTTTTTTTGATACAGGCTAATGTAATTCAACCGCTGTGGTACATGATTTCTACAGTAGTAGGGCCTTTTGGACCTGGCGTTGAGTTATACCCAAATTCTGATGCAATCTGGGCATAGGTATAATGCCGAGCGCGTAGAGTACGCGCTGCGATTCGTTGATCGCGAGAGGCTTTATGATGCCTAGGGGTCTGGGGGCCCTTGCTGGGCTGTTTGCTGAGTAGGCATTCTGCAGATAGATTGATAGGTTGGTTGGTGGTATCTGAGTCGGGGATAGCGTAAGGAGTGAAACAGCGGTATATGTGACTAGTCCTACATTGGAAGGCGGTTGGGAGGAATCCTCACCGCACTCAAAAGGTGGAGCTAACATAACTTACGGCCTGAACTGCAGTATATTATATGCACGACGTGTGTACAACAAGCGTTCAATAAGACTCCAGGTAGGCGTGGTTTGTGTTGGTCTATTGTAGGTTGGGATTAGGGCTGTTCACGATATGCGGTCTCGACGATATTATCGTGCGATAATTATCGCAGGGATTTTGGTCTAACGATAATTATCGCATTATCGTAAATTATCGTACACAGTACGATAATATCGTTAAACTAATGAACTAGCCTAATTGAGCTTAGAATAGTCACCTGACTAGTCAGGAGTCAGTATAGTATTTCACCCATTACTACTCCGTACTGTAGTAATAACTACGATATGCCATAAATATATATATCACTATTAAAAGCAGTAAATTCAACTAAACAATGTCTTTCATTAACATTAACATCCTTATAGTATCCACCCCTAAACTAAGTCTTCGAATTCCCAAAAGATTTCTCCCTGCACTAAATAGCCTCTTAACTGATACCTCAGAAGCCGGGATCGCGCGCCATGTCTTGGCGCCGTTCCGTGCGTGCTGGGTGAATATAACGGGTGGCGGGGAACTGTTGGGCAAAATGTCAAATACGGGCGAACTAGACGGATAATCCGGGGTGGTGGCTCGTCGTCGTGTCTGTAGTCTAGCTTGCCTAGCTTTCGCAGCACAATGATCTTCGCACTACGCCATTAATTTAGATAGTGTCCTAGATCTACGCATACCGTGAAGACGCGGACAATAAAGGCCTTCAGATGTACCCATACTTTTTTCCAGACCAGCATTAGTAGATTGTCTTCCCCTGGCGCTGTCGTCCCTTTCGTTGTCCTTAGTGCTCGCTCAACCTCAAGTTCCGTGATTGGGTGCCATGGGAGCTCCGGGAGTGGTGAGGCTGGTGGGCTGGGTTCGGGTGTTGTTCATTGCGGGGAAGGACGTGCTGAGGAGCGCCTTTGCTTTGTCCACGTTCTGGACGAGTTCTTCTGAGCCAACTTGTAGTGCTGGATGCAACCCCATGTCTCCCGAGGCTTCATGTAAGTCGCGGCTTTCCAGAGCTTTCCTTCGCCAGCCTCGTCTAGGAACTGTCTCCAGTGTGATGCTTTAGCTCCATGCAAACCGAGCAAACTAGTGACCGTTTTGGCATGCTGTCAATTCCCTCCTCCATCCCTCGTTACTTCATAGCAGAGGGTCTAGCGTTGCCCTGGGCTTCCATCTCGGGTTGATGGGGTGGTTGGCGATGCGGGGTTTTGAGGGTGTCCCACATGAGGGGATGTCCCATTTCCAGGTGCAGGGACTTAGCGTGCAGCCTCTCGGCAAAGAGTGTACGTAAGCCGAAGGAGCGGAAAACGTCCTACAAGACGGCAATCATGTTTGCCGCCACGAAAAGCCACATTATCTTTGTGAGATCCCCACTATTTGGTTGAGAAGGCCGTCTGGTGGTGGCCTTTTTGCTTTTGGAAAGTAACCTTGGCATTGGTTGCACCGAGTCCGCCGCACCAGCCATGCCGTCCATTCTCAATCTCCCTTATGAGCTTCTCACCTGTGTTCTCGGGCAACTCAGTCCCTTCGACCTTGAATCTGTTGCAAAGACGTTCAACAAGACGCTCTACAGCACTTCCCATCGACTTCTGAAGCCCCACGCATGGTGGATGAAGAATGCTCTTCGAATGTCTGCCCTCTTCCCCCCATTCGCCACTCATACCAACCGCCGCTTGCTGCCATCGTTCCCCGGCCATCTCGAGCCATTGAACGAGGACTGGAGCTCAACACGGGATGAAATGTCTGTCAGAGATTGTAGAGTGCTGGGCCTTGATCTCAACTTTCTGCCGTATATTCGAAGCTCGCCGCCGGATCTCCGAAGCTGGATGAAGCTGGACGGGACTTTCGGCTGGCTGGAACCGCTTGGTGACCGAGTTTTGGACGACATGAGGCCATATATCGGCATTGAAGGTAGAGATCCCGTTGCCCCTGGGTGGCAAATCGACCTCTTGGTCAAGCAAGCCGGAGAGCTTGGTTTGACGCTACCCGAAGGCTTCGAGGTGTTTCTCAGGAGCGACCGCTTGCATGGCCACATCCCAAGCTACAGCGCATGGTATTTTAGCCTCTCGAAGCTGGTCAAATGCCCATCTGAGTTCGACGAGGGCGCAGGAGGCTATCTTGTGCGGTTTCATTGCGACCAGCAGTTTTGCGCCTTCTCATATCTCTACCTGAATCCAGTGGGGAATCACTGCGTCCTCGGGTCGGCTACCGATATATACCAAGACATGAGCACGGATGAGATCGAAGCGCCTGATGCCCCACAGCAAGAGCAGGATCGGGATCAGCAGGATGGGGACAATTATAATGATGCTGGTGCTGGCGTCGAAGAGGTCAAAGACCTGGCCAAGCTAGACTTTACCCTATGGGGCTTGACATTCGAAGAATACCTAGCAATGACATACTTTGAAGAACTTCTCAGCTATGGCGCTAAGCCTTTCAGGGGCCTTAAGGATTTCGCCAAACACATTTATAGGTCGCCCATCGAAGTGGAGGCCATGCGCACACATAGTAAGTGGGAGGATATCACAACCTCTCCCTCTGCGACTGTCTGTTGTGTGCCTGCTGATCGAATAAAGTACAGACCCTGCAATTGAATCCTTTCTCCAAGCCCGAGGCTGGAAAGGGAAAGAAGACTACCCTCGGACTTATGTGGCCGGCGAAGACGATGAAGAGTGAGACTGCGAGTCTTACGCAGGCGATGATGCCGCTAGCGAGTCAACAGAGACCGACTTATACGGAGGTGTTTCAGACATAGTTTTTCGCTCCTATGGGATTAGCAGGTCCGTTGAACACGAGACTTCGCGTCGGTATCTCTCGTGAGCGAGGTAAGGTGCTGGCATGGACCGATTATTCAGCTCGCGTATTTCACTGTCAAAGAATACTTAGTGACTCAGACAGAAAGCAGTAACATCCTTGAGCACCACTTTACAGAAGAGTCAGCTCAAGATAATCTAGCACAGGCGAGACTCAGCTGTGTGCTCGAGAACAATTCGCCAAAACAGTCTGCTTTCCAATCAAGCATGCCTATTAGATTACTCTGCTCTGGTACCAGCATGCAAACATTCCTGGAAAGGACGGATATAGCCAGTTAAGAAAGGCGATGGACCAGTTATTCAGTATTGATCTGGCAGCAACTGCACAATGTTGATGACCCCTGTTTCTTAAGTAAAAGTCATTCTTCATCAGCTCCACACGAAGAGGGCTTTCCACAACCAATTTACTATGCTTCACTTCTTAGATTCTAAAATAGCGTCAGAAAGCTTCTTCTGGAAGGCGGAACAGTGAGAAAGGAAGGGCGTGCAGGGATTGCAATTCTCGCAGCAGCCAGCAATGGCCATGATATTATTTTTAAAGCGTTATTATCAAGACAACCTCAGCTTGGAGAAGCGGAAATTGTGAATGTCATAAGGCTTCTCAAAAGAAATCCCTAAATACTATATCGGTCTATTTCGAAAGGCGCACATCCATGATCTCGGAGCTAATTGTGGGGCCGCAGCGGAGAATGAGCAGAGCGGGAAGGAGATCCTGATTATGCTTCTGGGCCGGAAAGGGGAAGATGTCAAGTTAATAGGCACTTTACAGCTCTAGGTAACACCTTCCCCCCTCCCCCGCCCCACAAAAAAAGGGATATCCGCGATGACGAATAGTCTTTTTGGTGACGATGATTATCAGCCACAGAAGGTTGACTGATGGGATGGAAATTGGCAATGTGCCCCCACTCGCTGTAACTTCGATCGCACATCCGCAACATTGTACTCTCCTAGCCCTGCTCTGTATCGGGCCACCGATCAGCCACAATTGGATCAACTCAATTTTCTGTACTTTAGGAGCAATGCGGTGTTATGCTTTTCAACATAAATATATGGTAGCGAATGGAGCGAGTAAATATCTTTAACTCTTGTCTTCATCCAAACTTTCAACTGAAAGCATCCATAAATCATCCAGGTAGTGATTTATGTCAGATACTTTCTCTGCCTCCTCTTCCATGAGGAACCCGCTGAGCCAGGCAGCCGTAAGAATCTTACCTCCTGCTCCTGTCCATGTAAATTTCGCCTACTTTTTCGTCTTCTTCCGAGTTATACTGCCTATTTGGTCTATCGCTGTAGGCCCAGCCGGGGTTGCGATGAATGTCGTGTCAGGAAGATCAAATGCGACGAAACTCGGCCGACATGCTCGTAGTGCTGGGTCGCCACTCGGACTTGCCCTGGATACCGGGATCATGCATCTTTGATCTTCCAAAATGAAACTCCGGCGGTAATCCAAAAGGCAATAGGGCATGGCCTAGTCAGACATGAGAAGTCCGCACCCGGCGAGAAGCTCACGCCGGTGCCAGACCAGTTTCTACCGAGGACCGATGAGCGGGTCCGTAGCGGTCTATGGCCTTTGAAAAACCTATCACTGGTCGGTATATTCATAAAAAACCGCACTTTTCCGGCCACATGCTTCTTTCTAAGCCATTACTCTTGCCTTTCTGTATCTAACTTGGTAAGTGATTATCTAAGGCAAGGAATGCTCTCAGAAACTCACTTGGGCTATAGGGTATTATAGATAAGTATCGCCTCTGTAGGGTTGGTAAATCTGGGTAACCTTGATAGCTCACCCGGTTTCATTACCTCTGCGAAGAGGGCATATAACCTAGCATTAAATGAAATCAATTGCGCAGTTCTTGATCCTATAGAGGTAACTTAGGATATAACTCTTACTACTATTCTCTGTCTCTCATTATATGAAGTCAGCTGTAATCTTAATGTTCTATGCAAAGAGTGAAGCTAATTTTCCTTAGGTTATCATCTTTGAACGTCCTCAATCCCTTTATGCTTGGACTATATATATACAAGGTGCCACTGCCCTACTGGAGCTGCGGGGGGAAGATTAATTTCGAGGCAAGTGGGCTTGCATCTGTTCCGTGTAACAAGAGACGAAGTCGTAAGGCAATTCCTTCTGGTGGAATTTACATCTCCTAACTAATCTTCTCTAATCTTCTCTAGCTTCTCGCTTGCCTTCAAAGAGGAGCAAGACTACCTGAGAAAATGCTACTGTCGCCTGATTATATTGTTTGCGGAATTGGGACAGAGTCTGTTAATGATTTCAAAAACGATTTGATTGAAATCACCGCTAAGCTATGCAATCTGTGGGCGAATACCAAAGACAGCACCCTACAAGAAACGAGGAAAATTTTGTTTATCGCTGAAGTAATCGACTCTTAGCTTTTAAGTTTTGCCAGTAGGCTTTTTACTAGATTCCCTTATAAAGTTAAACGATGGAGCGGAGATACTCCACTTAATCTGTATGAGGCAGCGTATATCTCTAACTATGATGGTTCTTTTTAAATTTACACGTCAGATGACGCCTGCAATCTTTGGAATAACTATCGCTGTGTTTGTATCACTGTGAACCGACTGATGTTTAGTTATATCCCTTGCCTAAATCGAAAAACACTGCATTCCGTCGATAATAACTATTTCGAAAAGTAAATTGCTAGCCGTCGATGTTTACTGCGGCAACTTGCGATCGAAATATGTCTATCTGTTCCTTAGAGGCTTGGGCTTGCTAGGAGGGGAAGCAAGTCTATCACACGTCCTTAAATGATTAATCCTGCCGCTGGCTTGGTTTTGATATTCCCTTTATACCTCGCTGCCACTATAGAAGGCTACCCAAGCTCTGTTTTTCTTTGGGTTATGACTTGTCTCAATATCTTCGGGCGGTTCATAGGCATCAATACTACTTTATTCCTTTTAAAAATCCTACCAAGGACTCCAGGTACTATATGCTAAAGCGTGAATTATTTGGAATAATCATCGCTGCGTTCGCATCACTGTGAACCGACTGATGTATAGGTACATCCCTTTTGAAAGATAATGTAGAGACTAATGCGATGAAAACTTGATATAAACTTGATAGAAAAATTTACACAAAAAAGGGTGTGTTAATTGTTCAAGAACCGTCCACCTATTCGCAAGTGAAGTGGATTGTCTCGAGCCGCAACTGGCCTAGTATCGAAGAGCGTTTAGATACTACAATGTAGATAGCGCCTATCTTATTAGAGCCGGAAACCGCCACCAAGCTGGAGGATGCATTTATATATGACTACATGTCTTGATTTCAGTCACGGAGTTTTCATGTATGAGGGCCACCTCAATGTCAATATATTTTTTCTCAGCGCAGCATGCCATTTGACCGGTGGGTATGCGATCTGTAGCTGGTTTGGAAATTCACATTATACCGGAAACTGGGTCTATAGCATCGGAGGCTATCATGCGGTGAGCGAGTCTCTGAAGTAACTCCCTACTCATATAATCATCCTTAACTGACTTATTTTCTTCCACATAGGCATACACGCCCTAACCATATTACACCGTACCGCCGCGCCTAGGGATCTCCTGGAACCTGGATGGGTGTATCAGTATCAACCCTAAAGCTTACTTTGCCTAAGAACTTTTATTCCCTACTCTAAGATACACAAAGAAAATTGACTATGAAACAGTGCAACTCCTAAATCCTGTATGGGTGGCGGCACTCTTAGAGCCGCCTTTTCGTGCGGACCACTTGGAGCACACTTTGACGCCTAGGCCGACTTTCTGTTTACTTATGATTCCTTTTGCGTTTAAGGCTCTGTGGGTGTCTCGGTAGGTGTCGACTTTACACCCGACCTCTGGATCTGTAGCATCTATATCAGCGTGGATATTGGTGCCTCTCTTTGGCTCCAAGGCCCACCTTTCCAGGGCGTAGTCCACGTCGACTTCTGGGTCTTCGGATTTGATATCGCGTTTGGCTCTGGTGATATACCTGCAGCACCCCTAGACTGGCCGACTTTCTGGAATTTATTGCTGTAGATCAACGAGCAAGATCTATTATCGAGCGTCACTAGTGGGCCAGATGCTGAGCTCGTACTTGTCGTACAAACAGGCGCTGTTCCTAGTTAGGGCAAGATTCAAAGTCCCAGGATTTCACCCTGGGTAGTTCGTGCTGGCACTTTCAGTTTCCGTGTCTAAACTCGAATGCTACTCACGAATGCCATTTGCAATGGAGATACCGCAGGCGCTCTTAACGCCAAAGATTACACCGAAAAAGACATTTATAGTAAACCTATGTAGACGTCTGATGCATTCGGGTCTGAAATGACCATCACCATTGCGGATGTGACGGATTCATTTAGGCTCACGCCGGTGATGAAGCAACTGCCCGTTGCGATCTGGGGTAAGTATGGCCAAGAGACCGATCCCAGTCGTTCTTCTAAGGGAAACTACATACCTTCTCTAATGGATGCCGATGCACCCACTGTCAACCTGATGAGCGGCGTCGTACTTATAGCGCCTCTGCCTATTAAGGGCAACGATACGATATCAACGTTCAATGCCATTCAGGCAAACCGTACGGACGTGAACGTTAGCGGCGATCCGGCGTTGGCTAAAACTCCATCTATACAAGGATCTTAGTTCGTGCCTCCATTAAAGGGACTAGAGGCAGGTCCAGACACTGTACGGATAACTTGGGCGGCTGAGGGAAAATCTGGGCAAGAGAAGGCTGTAGAAGAGGCGGCTAGTCCAGCACCAGGCTCCCCTCGCCACCATCGCTACTCGATCGCTTTGTAGTACAGTGGACAACACTCTTCGGATGGCCAGTCAATGGGCCGATTTTAAACCCCAAGACCGGTGACGTCCTCCAGATGCCGTTGTCGGCTGAGCCGCCTACCAAGTCCTTCCTGAGCGATCTGGCGACTTAAGAAAGTTATTACGTGATTGATCCAAGGATTGCATAGCCGATCACCGTCTAAGAAGGAAGGGTTTTCTGTTCGAAGATGTGGTCCAAGCCCAGGTAAATGGCTCTACTGATTTATATATTGGGTTTTCCGAGAATTACTGTTATGATATTCTTTTGAGGCTATTCCCATGTTGATATTGATGCCTCAGGCCACAAAGGGCCGAGGATCTCCCGGCGACGAACCAGCAGGCCCTCCGTGGTGATGCGGGAACGCATGTAGCTGCAAGTATTCATATATTTCCAACTGCAAAGTTATAGCCAGTGATTGGCGAAGACACAAAGGCATTATGGCCTACAAGACGTAGTTTATGATATTTCCCCCGTGGATAGATAGGCGGTTATGAATACCTAGGAGGTATGTTGAAAAAAGGGCATATTAAGGACCGTGAGATTGAATACGGAAAGCTCTGCGACAAAAAATCTCTCGTACTTCACCTCGGGTGACGGTATAAAACGGTAGCGCATGAATTTAATTAATTTCGTATCTGCAACGCTACACAAGCTCTGGATCTCGAGATAGACGAAGAAATCGAGTTCGCTAAGAGATCGTTGTTCGAGAGGTCTGGGTACCCTTTATGACTACCTCGCCGGAAAACCCGGCCTATAATGGTTATATCTCTATGGGATGAGTTCAGCATATTACAATCATTGTCCAGCGTCAAACCTGAACTTTCCTGAGCTGGCTGGAAAAAAAGAAACCCGAGCAGAAAGCGAAAGAACAGAGCCCATCACTGCAATATTTCTAGCAGCATAAACTGTCCGAATTTTGTTGTTATCAGCTAGTTTCTGTTGATGAATCCGGATGTGATCAATAGCTCGGATATATTGTGGCACCAGGCACTTGCTGCTCAGGAATGAAGTCGTAACATCGGAAATAATTCCTACTCTATATATGATAAGAACCAAGTTGATTTTCAATCGACTTGGACTTCACTTTATATATATACCCTCATATATTCCCTCAAGATGATGATTCAAGATTTGCATGGGTTTTATCGGCGTAGAATTTGGCTGACAGGTCTCCAGGCTAAAGCCGGGAGCACCTTCTTCGGTCAGTTGTGGACATGGCGCCGCTGGGGCGCCATTATAGTCCATAACATGGTGTTTGTTTTAGCATATGAGTTGTAGCGAGCGATGAGTAATGAGGTAAGTAGCTACGTCCTAATCATACGGCCTCAAGATTGACATGTCAGTTGGTGCGAAACGTAGAATGAGGCAAACATGCGCTTATGGAGGCTGGTCGAGGCCCAAGTCGTCCCCGCGCGACGCCATTGTACAGTCGATTACGAAATGGCCGGATGCGGCTGGTTATCTGTACCACGACAAAGCTTTAAGAAATAGTCTTTATCTTTCAGCATAATGCAGAGCATGGCATAAGATCTAAGGAGTCAACCTATAAATACATATCCTTCGTCCTCTGCTCTCATCATTTTCACTTGTTTCCCCTCCAATCCAAACCACGCATGAACATCGCGATTAGTAAGGCTTAGTCAATCTCTTGTATAAAAAGGCCATTCTAATAACTTAGTAGTTTCAAATGTCACAAGATCACGTGGCAGTTACAGGCACTTTTATACCAGTCCCTACTGCCTTTGATGGCACCCCAGAGGGTCTGGCGAATGCTGTGAAGATCGGGATTGTACCGACGACTTCCGTGACACGCGAGTCAGGGAGGCAGGCGGAGCAGGTGTTAGATGTAGCCATAGTGACCCATCGAGCAGTGATCGACTTCGCGGCAGTGGATACAAGCGAAATAATTTTCAAAAAGCTGGAACGTGACTGCGAGCTGATGAAGGACGCCCTCGGCAACTATCCTGAAGAGATCAATCAGGTGCTGAAGTTGGTCTGCAGTGGCCAGGCGACCACGCAGGCAATCGAATCTGCAGCTGCAGCCCTGGCCAAATTGGACCTCACTGAAGAGGCATTTCGCGAGCAGGGCGGTGGATTTATCGGATTGGTGGTCGCCCTCGCAGTATGTGTTTTTGTTGCCGGCTGCAGAGGCTGTGCCCATACAAACTGGGCAGAGAGAGGTGGTGAGGGAGGAGATGAGGGAACTGATTAGTGCGACAGAAACATAGGTTACCTTTCTGTCGGTTCGGGTGTGGTTTTTTCCCCGCCGAGTTTTCCCACGCCCTCAGCGTCAATGCGGCACCGACTAATGCTTGCATTCCTTGTCTTGTACCTATAATAATTCGATTCCGACGATATCCTGACAATTTAAACCCCAATTCTAGAAATGGCTCGTTTTATTTCCAATCCAAGTACTGATTAGCTACAGCATATACTGCTTATAGCTGATTATACTCTTGAAGAAATGCTGCAATGAGAGAATAATTCGCATGGGCATGTAGCCCTAAACCATTCCATGTTATTGTACGCAGCTCATATGATCTACATATAACCGTTTGCGGCCTGCTGACTATCATGTGCGAACAAGCTCTAGAATCTTGAATTAGAACGTCAATTAAGCGTAAGTTTATCCAATGGTGGCAAGATAGCCTGCGGTTATAATTGGCGGTTAAGCCACTTGACTAACTTGAACAGGCTCTATAGCATCGAGACTATATTAGCCGATACACCGCGGCTGCAGTTTGAGGGGAGGTGAAAAAATTATTACCAGAGGACCTTGTTTGCTTATCAGAGTTATTTTATACTGTAAATGCAGCCACATCATCTTGAATCGCAATGTGATCTACATACTCTACCCATTTATCTCAACCATAAAGTCCTGTGGAACACCGCTTCGTCTCACTTCAGTCTGGTCCGGTCCAATCCTTGTTACAGTCTGTGCTGTACTTCATTCACGCTGACCTCTCGCTAGGTGATATCCAGCATACATTAACTACATATAAATGTACGTACATGTCCCGTTACATTCATCTCGAAATCGGCTTGACCAGTACATATAGAGGCACTTTCTCGGCCCCACCGCCAAGGCCTTAGCGCATATCACTAATTGAGCACACCGCACTTAGTTAAGGATAATTGTAAAATATATCCAGCATTATATTGTATCCTGTGCTGTAATATTGTAGCCTGCGCTTCTGTTCCTAGACTATGAGGCTCCATACTCTATAAGTCACAATTCACGGCGGCCCTCAACTAAGTGTGGGGGCTCAATAAACCGTCTGCGCTAAGAACCTGGCGGTGGATTCGGTAAAGTGTGTCTCTGTGTATTGGTCAAGGCAATTTTGAGAAGGACTGTACACTCTCCCTGGCCAGGAAGATTGATACGTGTGTAAGAAGGAAGATCTCCCGCGTGTGTATTTAGTAGTAGCTGCTACTCTAAGCGTGTAATTGTTAATATTTGATTTTCGAATCTGCATTTAGGGGTATACAAGAACTATTTATTACAACATTCTACTAGCGCAGAAAATGGAGTGAACAGTTGAGTGGTGGGCACTGTCGCTGTCAGCAATAGTTCTTCACTCAAACACTTTTTCTCAGAAACCTACTATAGGTTAGCGGCCGGACCAGATGACCCCCGGGTTAGCGACTGTACGTATACCGATCATACGCAAAGATTCCGCAAGGTAGGTACGAGGAAGTCGATGGCGTTCAAATGATAAAGGTTTCAGCATACCCCTTGACATCGCGTGGTAACAAGGCTGTATCAGTGTGGATGGCAAGGGATTCCCATTTAAAGCAATTCATCCCGAAGTCGAACGATACTCACTAATGACCGATGCGATAATTTGTATTCAGTCGAAATTGGAGTATATATTTCTTAAACCTGTATCAGATGTCGTTGGACGTCACGTAGTCCGAATCTGCTTCAATATACGCATTTGAGTCATAGCAATATGTTATATCTATCTAAGTCTACGTCACCGACATACTAGATACCAACCGATCTGGGTCCGCCATTTGTTGATGGACGGACGACTGTGAAACAATCGATCCGCCTGTTATCAGGATCACGTCACCATCAGCCTCAGGACATAGGGCAAGCAGCCAAAACAGGCGCCAGTTTCGGCACCCATGCACCAAGATTACGAAGGAAACTTGCGTTCATATCGAGATTAACCTCATACCGCTGCCCTGCAACGCGATGGTCTAAATCCATAATATCGCTTCTATGCCGATACAAATGTATGTACGTACGATATAATAATGGATTGGAAATACCCCGCACCTTAAGAAAAGTCCTTTTCACACATTATCCCCATGCCAAGAAATCTACATAGCCTTGGCATTCTGTCATCTGTGAGATAGCTGCAGAATGTCATACAGTTGATACAGTCAGACTCGGCCTCGCCGAGCGCAAGTAAAGCCAGCTACCCACCCCTCAGCCGTACGTTAGTAAACGTGATGTTTACCTGTGCACAGGACGATGTGTCTGGCTCAACTGAACCTCGATGGGCTCTAGACTATCTTTCTACAAACGGGAGAAAAACTATGCATAGAAGCAGATTGGCTGAGAGCACGAATACCCGTTATAGGGAGCATCGTAAACTATAAAGGCACGAGTCATTCCCACAATGACCACTGTGATTACACAAATCGCCATCTGAACTGGACGACCACCGGTACAGTAATGAAGCACATCACACATCTCCTGCTTTTGCTGTCTCCAGTCCTTGCGCTTATTTCACAGCAGCGCTTGAAGAATGTGTATGCTGAAAGTCATTGTAAGTGATGTTGTTACATTGCGATGTATCTAGCTTCCTAAAATACTTGCTAACTTGCACGTGTAGTAAATGAGACCGAGTATTCGCAACTTGATATTCGCGCTTCCGGCTGGACAGTCGTTATTGATGAAGACCGTGGGAAGGTCCCATTAGGGGTCGAATTCTCTGCAACGAGCCGCAGTCCGGACGCGATGGATTTATTCTACTTCCATGGGAATGGAGATGGTGCCCCTTTGACTCAAGCGTGCTGGAATCAGGGAAACGACTGGAAGACTTGCCGTGTATTCCAATACGTGTTTAGTTACGTCTTAGGTAGCGGTCGGCTCACGGCTATCTCCCGCACACCGGAGCGCCACGAGTTATTCTTCGTCCCGAAAGGGTATCAGGCTGTTCACGTCGAACGCTGGCGAAAACACGGAGGCTGGTGGGGTGGAACCCCGGTGATTGGCCATAAAGCTGACCCGAGTACGGGCTTCGGCGTCGTTTCTCGAGGTAGCAATATGCTCCAGACCTTTTGGGTTAGAGATGATCGGGCACTTATGCATGCCTACACTGAAGACGACGGTGACTCCTGGGTACGAGATGTGGTCCTAGACGCGAAAGCCGACGCAAAACCATCCTCTGTCGCTGCTACATCACGAGACCCCAATAGTATGGTGGTGGCCTGGGTCACGAGCAAAGGGATACTCGAGGCAGCCCGCTATGAGAAGAGCACCTGGACGAAGAAACAAATCACGACTCACGATACTGTGGCTGGGATCAGCAAGATCGCCACACTTTCAATCACGCCGAGTATGCTAAATCTCTTTTGGATTGGGACGGATGGCATGATTCACCAATCCTACTGGACGGCAGGTATGCCCAATGACCAGTGGATAACAACCCCGATATCCAACTTTCCTGCCAATGTCGGGGGACTATCCGCTGTGTCGATGAATAGCAATCACATGGAGGTTTTTTGGACATCTCAAACTGGTACGCTTTACCACGCCTACTGGACTGCGGCGCAAGACCGGTGGATCAGCGAGCCTGTTCCTGGTTCGACTGGATCACTGCGCTGCCAGCCAGGCTCACCCCTCACAACGGTAGCGAGGAAGGGCAAGAACTCGATGGAGGGCTGGTGTAGATCAGTTGAAGGCAAGCTCGTCCATTTCTATTACTACGCAAATTAACCACAGACAATTGGTGTTAGCGGGTGGATAGGTGCAGGAACGGCCTTTCCTCGCATTAATTCCCGTTAATAAATGTGACGAGGAAAGTGATGATGGTCTATTTCATCCATTGCTCGAAGGCATTGGCCGAAGGCGCCCATCAGAGAAAATATGCAAATATTCCAAGCGACTTGAGGGTTGTGAAACCTATTGGAAATTATTAAACCAAATATTTCGCCTTGTAATGTCCAGCCATCTACCGGCTACCTTCATTAAAAGAATATGATTGAGGAAATTTCTACCTAGATTCCTTAGGTGATTTGCATTTAGCGATTTTTACATAAATTGATCTTATACTTAGATTCCCTGCATCTACGACACCTTGACTGGAGCCTTTTTTGCGAGCTGATTACACTGAATGGGAAGACTGTCCTATATATGCGACACTACCTCATCATCTTTAACGTCTGACCAACCCTGCTGCCATAATTCAATGGGTTTTGATTCGCGCATAGATTTATAGATTGAGGGGCGGCCGGTTCGACATGCATATCCAGATGGTCGACGACAACGGAAATCGAGTTGCGGCAGTGCACCTGTCCAACTTGGTCATCAACCATGGGCAGAGACGACCCTGCATAACACTCCTCTCTGTGATTTGGATAACATATCGCCACCTCCGGCCCCAGACGCATACCTCGGAGGTAAATCTTTTCCACGTCGTACTGAAATAAAATGATTAATCCCTTTCTGTAAATGATTGATCACGAATCGAGGCGTCCTTGGTATCTTCAAAAAGCGTCTCAATAGAACATATAACATAGACATAGATCTAGCTATTACTTCACGAGCCTGTCATATTGGAAGTCAAATACGAGATAGCGTCAAGGCAGGTGCTGTTTCAGTTGTTACTGGGAGATGCATTTCTTGGCATTTATCTCAGGGAAGCTAACAAGTAACAACAAGGTCTGAATCTGCTATGACTAGTGATTTGGAAGAATGTGAGCCAAATCAATAATAAGGGGACATATTTCAAAGAAAATGGACAGGTTGAATTATCTATGGCAAGACAAAGCAGGCCACGAAGTCTGCTAATAAAAATGGAGAGAGGATGGAAATTGTCAGAGTGTAGGATCCTATCTTGTCCCCAGTTCATATAGCCATCATGACCATATAGCCATCATGATCAAGACATAGTCATTCATCACCAACTATAGTCATTCATCACCAACTATTTGATTCTGGTAGTACCCGAGGTCCCGGCGTGAAGAGGAGTATTTAAGGAAGGACCGTGTTACAGTGATGACAGCTACTTCTCCGGATGTCCAGCAGGAAGAACATCCTCAACCGTCTCGTCGGTATTTTGCAGATCATCCGCAATATCCACATGGTCCTTGATCCGTAGGAAGATGACTGGCGCCGCGACGAGTAGCGATCCTCCGAGGAGACCCCAGTTGCTGGCGAACTCGGCTGCGTAAGATGCCTTGTGGAAATCTATACTCCACACCACGGCCGCACCCGCAGATTGGATGCCTTTATAAAATCCGGCAAAGTTGGCACCTTTGCGCCCGGAGTTGGAAAGAGCCCCCATATACCTGCAAAGTTAGGAGAATTAGATAAATTCGGGTTTGAAACGAAAGGCTCATGGCTGGGTAGGGGGGCCAACACGGCAAATGACAAGAGATAGAGAAGCAGACTGACCAGTAGATAACACCCTGCCAGACGGCGTCATAGAACCCGTAGAAGAAGTACAGGAACATGGGCCCAACGTATCCCGGGTGGGTCCAATCCCAATGCTGGAAGCCCGTTGTTTCTGGGTCCACAGACTCGCGAGTATAATTCTTCTGCCAGGCCCAACCACCACCCCAGATAACCATAGTCAAGATGAAAAGGATGGCCCACGCGCTGCGGGCACGCACTGTACGACGGAAGTACGTCATATCGAGGAGTGGGCCGATGATACTTGCAGCCACGATTTGAGCGAACCAGTATAGGAAGGAATTCAGGGCCCTCGTGCGGGTATTGAAGTAGGCGACGTTGATTGCGTTTCCTTGGTATGTATAAAACCAGTTGGACGACCAGAACATGGGAAACAGAAGAATGACAAATGGTTCGTTCTTCAGCGTGTCGTAGAGCCCGTACAGCTCGGTTTTCCACGTTGGGTTTTTCATGATAATAATCCGAGATCCGTCGCGACGAATGACCTTCTTTGCATCGCAGAGCATCAGAGCCAGGCAAGCGCCAAAGAACATGAGGACGATGAAAGCAATGTACGTTCCATCGCTGACAGTGGCGGCGGATTTGACGTCGATATTCGTGCCGAGGGCGATCTAGGAACTGTTGATTAGATGAAGAGACCATGGATGGTAACGGCCAGACGTACAAGACTGCCCATACAGGCCCCGATGTTAAAAATACCCCAGAACCACGCGAAATACCGGCCTTTTTGGTGTTCGTGGGGGTAAGACATCATGATCGCGCCCTGAGCCGACCACAAGATACCCGCACAGGCACCGAGTAAGGCCCCTGCGAAGATATTGAACCCCGGCACATATTTGTGCACGGAGACAAGCAGACTGATCGCATAGATGCAATATCCGATTCCTCCAAAGGACAGAGACAGTCGGATCCCGACCCAATTGACAATCGAGCCCGAGAAGAAGCCGACCACGGCGAAGACACTGTACAGGGTGAGGTTCTGGCAGGGGAATCGATCAATTAGTCCAATGTCTCCAATGTCGGCCAATTGCCATTCCTCCCAACCGAAAAGGTGCGAACGATACCATTTGATCTGCCAACGTCGGATCGGCTTTGCCGCCACCGCCCAGACCGCTGAGCGCATTGAACATGCCCGGACACATGAAACAGACAAACGCGACCATACCGAGCTGGAACCTCGGAGACGCATACCAGGGCGTGCTCCAGCGACCCATCCTCCACGACTTATACATCCATCCTCGAGGAAGCTGGAGATCTCCGATCGGCTCGTCAACCGTATGAGCGGGCACGGGACCTTTATCGGAAGTTAGGGTCGGACCGGCATCGGTCGTAGTATCAGCCATGATGGGAGCCAGGCGGAGACTTGGCGCGAGAGTCGTGGGGGTAGACACGGACGAAGATGTCTTTTGGACACGGGCCCTAGGAGGAGACGACTTATTTATCAACGACCAGGGCGTGCATTAGCAGAGAAAACTCGAGGCCGTACGAGGATGGGAGCTCAGGTAGGTGGCCTAGTCAGCTGGCGGTTTCATTGTCACAGTTTCTTCGCTGCTCGCTAGGTTGCTGTCATAAGGTTACTCTGGTGGGTTTTCCCTCTCCCAAGGGAGCCCTCAGCTAGTCTCAGCCGATTCGTCCGACCTTCCCAGACTCTCCCAGGGTTTGGTTCGACGGGTTAGCGTGCGGGGTTGCTGGCCATCTTGGCGTGAGTTGGGGGGCCTAACCGGGTTTCCGAACAAACGCCTTGCGGGGTATGATTGGCGCATCCGTGAGATGGGAATGGCTGATCCTTCCAGCCTTCCGTTGCCTCCCTCAGCCATGAGTGTTACACTCGCCTAATCCGATGTCGAGATGTCACTTTGCCTTGTGAAAGGGTGTAACCTCGTAAAGTGGTGGTAACCGTCGTTTGCGATAGTCAAGATGAATCAAGCCGATAGAGGATGGTCGTCTCTATCGCTTGGACCACTCGATTGACGCAACAGCCAGAGAGGGTTCGGACTGGGAAAGTGAGACAAGTGGCAGCCTCAGGCTGGCTATCATGCATCAAGATGTGAGCTGTCATTAAACATACGAACTATCATACTCTCCCTTGAAACATCTCCTACCATTATTACTATTATTACTGCTCTGCCTATTCCTATCATTCTATCGACAACTCGTGGGACTGTTACACCCATCTGTCCTCCACGTGGCCTCCATGCAAGCAAGCTCCGTCCGGGGAACTCTGGTGGCCAGGTTTCAGGTCGATGATGGCACGACCCGCCCAAGATACCTGCATCCCTTTTGGGAATTCAGTCACGGACCCCCTCAGTGAAAGAATTTGAATGGTTCCCGGAATCTTGAACCCTAAATAGGTAATTGTTCATTTTCATATCTCTACCTATTCCATTATCTCTCTACGTTATCGAGTCGTCCTCGGATGATAACGCTCTACTTGTATCTTCCATCATCGACAGTGGTCAAAGCGTGAATCGATAGTTACTATAACACTCATCACCTTGATATCCAGAATAGAGGTAGGCCCAAGGTGCGGCAAACTACAAGTCCGAAAGTCGAGATTCTGCACAATACCGTCTCATTGTTCAAAGCGACCAATAAACCAAAGAGCGTATCAAAAGGACACCACGGCGGCCGGTCGACGTGATCCCACAGTAGATTCCATGTTCTCCTATCGTCCTTTCCGAAATATCTTATCACGTCAATGCGCGTCTTGTTCGGAGTCTTCCGCCCTGCGACCCACTTCTATCTCCAAGTTGCGCTGACAGCAGTCTGAAGTCCAGAACATCCAGTTGGCACAGTGTAGCTCCGATTAGGGTCGCTTTCCCAAACAACGCTACCGTCCGTCTCTTTCTTGATGAATTTATATTCAAAGATAGTGCCAGCGGGAAGGTTGACGGTCACCGTCCACAAAGGGTTGGAAGACGTATATGAGCTTGCGGACAGAGCAATGGCTGATGATGTCGACCAGGACCCTAATTGACTGATGGATCCGGTGAGATAGATATTCTCACCGTACGTTGTAGTCACCAGTTCATTGAAGGTGACTGAAACGGTGGTAGCAGCAGTGCATGTGGTCGAGGTCGAAGCCGAAGTGGTGGTGCTTGTCTTGGTGGTTGAAGTAGTCGTAGCCAGACTAGTGGATGCAGTGGTCGAACTGGTGCTCGAGCCTGACCCTGAGCCCGAAATAGCAATATCAGCACAGTGCAGATACACTTGAGCTGTCTGATAAGAATTCCACCGGAAGCGCAGCAGGGTATGAGCTGAGTCATAGTCCGGGATCTTGATCTTCTTCGTGACCGTGTAGCCCCCTGCGATAGTGGTAGTGCAGGAGTTCAATGCAGCGCCATCTACACCTTGACAAGCCCGCTTGCTATCAGCATTGAAGGCATTGCAGGTAAACCAGTCGTTGCGGTAGCATGCTTGATCTGATGTGCAGTCCGGATTGTAGCCACATGTCTGTCCATCAACATCCGTGCATTTCAATTCACCATCCAAGAAACAGTCTTCGGCAGCTTGTTTCTCTGCAGTGGTTGGCAGATAACCAGGAGTCAAGAACAAGTCCACTAGGGTTTGATTTTGACAGATACCGTAGGTGAACATGCCGCCATGATCTCCATTGTTATCGACACACCATTGAACTTCCACAATATCGTTTGCCGTATATGTGGCAACCACGCTTTTTCCCCAGTAATCACCGGGCTGGTTATAGTCGACACTGACTCGGGCATTGTATCCACATGGCCCGCTTCGGCCGACTTGGGCGGCTTCAAGGTCGGGCCACGCGGTTACTGGTTCGAGGATGGAACATTCGGGGCAGGTATCGATGCCGGCCTGTTGAAGTTAGTCCTGTTTAAAGAAATTCACAGGGTCGGTGAAGCAGCGATACCTCAAATCCAAGCCGAGTACGACTTGAAGGAATGGTCAGGTATCCGTGAGCATTCACCAGGGAAAGCAGACATGACAGCGGCAGAAGAGAGGCAGCCTTCATGTTGAAAATGTGCAGCCTTTTCACAATGACTTGGTGACTGGAGATAAGGAGGAGTGGTGCACCATTTGATCGAGGATCCCAAGACGTATTTATATACTTTCCCTCCTGTGTTCCCTGTGAGAAATGTGTAAATATAATCCATACATGGAATGACCGTCTTCTCATATCACGGGCTTGGTTCCAATGTCAAGCCCTGGACCAGTTAATCCGAAAGGCTTGGCGCGACTGGACACTTCTTGGCGAGTCTACGATGTATGGATTTTTCGATGTCGTTTCTGTATCATGTCGCCCATAAGCCGATAATTATCCGACAAACATCAGCCGGACAATGTGATGCCAAGGATCGCAAGCGTCTGACGTTTGAAAAGGTTCGTTTATTCTGTAGGCCTCCATACATAGAGCAGCCGACAAATCCCCGCTCCTCCACAGTTTTTTTAACTCAAGCGACGTGCCGTGAAGTACTGTGGAGTAAATCGAGTCATCTTATTGGTAAGCCAAGAGGTACTAAAGCAGGAGCCGAAATGAAGGGTCCGCTTTTCATCACTCATGCGGGGAAGGGGTTTCGCGACATGATGCTGGCAGCTCTACGGTAAAGGAGGGGGCATTCGACGCGACGAAAGTATTGGATTATTCACTGAAACGTAGAGAAGTCAAATGACTAGTCTCGCCTATCATTATTGTAAGAGTCCACTCGTTAGGCTTATTTGTACACTTCTCCCTCAAGACAGCTGCATATGAACGTGTGAACAGACATACACGGAGAAGACGCAGAGTAAAGCCAGGGAAAGCCAAGTAACAATATCGAACCACCCATAGGAAAACGGGAGATAATATCAATATCGGAGGGGGGCAGCATGGTTGGTATGAAGTCTGTGGGCGAAAGACTTACCTTCATCACGGATCGCTACCAGGTATGACACGCCAATCGCATGGATAGGTAGATGTTTCCAGACGAAGCAGGTCTCCGCAGATTCCTGTAGGGGTAATGTGGAGCAAAGGAGCCTTACCCCAGAAACCGCAACCATGGGCAACAGCGAATCTCGCATTAGAGCCTTCGAAGTTCGCAGGTGCATAGATTCCATCGAGGACGAGATACCTAGCGGGGGCTACGAGTGAGTTTCAACACCAGGAAGTTCCGTGATGACGATGCGTACTATGCTGCTGGCCGTAGAGAACGATGGTGGACACGTCGTGGTTCCCAAGGCTATAGGGACCGTGTTGGATGGGGATGTAGTGGCAACCTGCTTTTCCAGGTCTAAGAGCAAATACGGCGTATCTACCGTAGCCAGCTCCGGAGGCTACCAGCTTTAAAAGACGCCCGCAATCCCCTGCGTATAGAGAGCACTGTTTAGATTCCTCGTGCTCAAAGTCGTGGAATATGTGCATCTGAGGCTAGGAAGATACGCATGCAGCAGCGCGCGGAAGGGCGTTCCCTTAACGCTAGACGAAGGAGCAGCGGCAGCTGCATGACGATAATATCAAGTGACATAGGTCTGATGCTGAGGGCCTTACAGGTCCTTGCATAATTAGAAAGCCGGCTTACTCATTAAGGCAAGTGCAAACTGAACACTGTTATCAACATATGCGAAGACTTTTCGTTTTCGCGCGGAAACCTTATGTCCCTACGGCGAACGAGAGAGAGAGAGAGAGAGAGAGAGAAATCAAGTGACTGTACAGGTACGCGGATTCTTCTTGAAATGAGGAATATTGAGATGTGAGGATATCTAAACAAAATTGTACAGATGAATTCGGAAGTAATTGAGATATTTGTGATCGACTAGACCTACTCTCAGGAAGGACACCCACTGGCTGGGTAGTTGCAACTGCTGGCCACGGAGCCACCAGTAATCGAGACGTCAGTGAAGGTGAAGTCAGAACAAGAACCATCTCCACAGAGAATGTAGTAGTCCTGCGCAGAAGAGGTGGCAGTTCCAGTGACGTTCTGGAAGAGCAGGCCCTCAATGAGGACGCCGTTGGAAGGATTTCCTGTCGGACCGCCATTCAGGTAGTCTTGCTGCACATCGATGCCGTAAATGGAAATATCCTGTAGGGCGATGTTGGAGTAGGTGATGTTGGCGACAAAACCAGTCGCATTGTAGTTAGTCTTGATCCGACAGCCGTTCTGAGAGTCGAAGACAGATGAATCCGTGAACTAGAGCCAAGAGGATTGCGGGTCAGTAAGTGACGTGCAGCGGAAATAGGATACTAGTGAGAGGAAACGGTCAAGAGGGTGATGAATGGCTTGGAGCTTCCTGTTCGAGCTAGCCTCCAATTCACCTCCAGAAGTGTTTCCTGATGCAATTCTAGATTCGCTCACCAGGATGTTGGTCACATTGTTGTTAGACTTCAAGCCTACAGAACCGATCGAGAGGCCGTGACCACCATGGCACTCGAGGTTGGATACGGTCATATTGTTCCCGCTGGTGATTGCCACGCAGTCGTCCTGGTTCCAGACAACACTGCGCTCAATCACAATATTAGTCGAGCTGCTGACATCGAAACCGTCCGAATTGTGCGCAGCAGCCAAGGTACCGCTTCTGCTGTTTGGAGCGTTTCCTGCGGTGTTATTCAAGACCAAGTCTTGGAAAACAACATCGGAGCAGCTTGAAATGGAGAAGAGATGTACAGGCCAATTCTGGATGTATAAGTCCTTGATGACTGAGTTCCCGGTCACCTTCTTGACAACAATGAAATGATTTGGTTTCGGGACGCCACCGTTAGATCCAAGGCCATCCCAGTATGCCTGTCCGTTGCCGTCGATGACTGCTCCTGGATTAGCAGTGACCGTGATACCAGCGCCGCTTATAGTGATTGGGTCGAAGCTGGAGGAATTGGTAAAACCGAAAGTCGTCAGTCCATCAAATGTCACTGTGGTGCCGGTCTGAAGTCCAGAGAGGTCGATGGCGGATCCATTGGGAGCAGCAATATTGGACAGAACGATATTGGTACAAGATGCGACGGCAGTCGAGATTTCAGAGTAGTCAGTGCAAACGCAAGGGGTGCCGGACGTTGCCGATGAGGTTGCAGAGGATGTAGTCAGGCTGGCGGCCAGAGAGGAGCTTGCGACAGCTGAAGTCGTCAGAATAGTTGAAGTGGTGGAAGAGGTAGTCAAAGTACCGACAGCAGAGGAGCTTGCAGCACTGGCAGAAGTCGAGACTGTGATGACCGACCCAGCAGCGGTGGTTGCAGTGGTTTCCGTTGATCCACTCGACTTCGTAGTAGATGTGGTACCCACGGAGGTAGTAGTATGGGTCTTTGTAACTTTCAAATCGCTCGGGTCGAGATAGCTGGTGTCGATCCACCATTCGTTCTTGAAGTTCTCGCCGAGAATGGACTGGATGGAAATGGGTGCAGTCAACTGTTCGCTGAAACTCGCTCGAGGGCCTTCCTGTAGCACAGATCCAGGGCCGTAATTGTTGTATTCGGCGAAAGTCACGTTGCCGGTGTTGGGGGTCGTTGTGGACCATTCTTTCCAGCCGGCAGCGGCGATAACATTACCCAGATAGGTCTCCTGGAAGACCACACGGGCAAAGGATCCCCAGGGACGACCGAGGTAGTTGGTCCCCGCCGAGATGGTGTCGTTGATACCCGATACGCTCGAGCGGCTGATCACGTACCATGACGGGTTGCTGGCGCTGCTACGGCCAGAAGCAGTGATGCATCCAGTAGCGATGGTTCGAATGTCAATGCCCTCGAGCCATACCAGTGCAGTCTGTCCAAAAATGAAGTCCACTGCACCGACAATCAGACTTTTGGCGTAAAGCTGGGAGCCTGAATGTAATGACGACTGAATCAATATACACTCTGCATGAACAATGCCTTCAACACAACCAACTTACCAGTCTCAGCAAGCAGAGTATCCTGATAACCAATCAGCTGACAGCCGTAGTAACCTTGGCCAGTAGTCTCCGCGGACACGGCAAGATTCTGACCATTCTTGGGAATATGGCCAAAGGTGTTGACAATGTTCATGTTGTACACCTTGGTGTTCGGATTCCATTGGCGCAAGGTTGCGGTCAAGTCATCGCTGGTGGTGTTAATAAGGGCTAGATTATAGGTTATCGTGGCCGTATTGTCCTCGTATCCCTTGGAGTTGCAGGTATATCCTTGGACAGTCAAGTTGGATGCAAGACGTGGAATATAAACCTGCTCGACGTAGGTTCCCGGGAAGACAAAGAGAGACTGCGGAGCGGTAGCCGTTTTACTCAGAGCATCAACCCCGGCCTGTACGGTCGAGAAGGAGCCTGGGTACGGTTTGGCGCTATTATCAACCACCACCGCGCCTTTGGCAGGGGAGACTCTTGCCCATGGATCCGAACAAGTCTTGTGGGCCGCCGAAACCCCCGGAAGGGCATGCGATACGGCCAAAGATGCTGCAAGGGCAAGATAAATAGTACCCAACATTTTGAAAGCAAAACACTCTTGGCGACTCTCGAGCTGTCGAGATAGGGCTTTTAAAGGTCGGAGGAGACTCCTTGAATTTATACAATCTTCGTCTCATCAAGAAGTCTACATGTAAATTTCCCCGTCCCAGCGTTGTCATTTCCCCAGATTTAGTCCCCCAGGCAGGAACCGGGTGGTGCTTGTGCAGGACGTTCCATCAATCACAAATTCGCCTGTGCTCTTTAGCTCGAACTTATTTGGAGAAGCTTCCTATTGTTTGCTCGGCGGGTGTGCGGAGAATCTGGGGTAGATAATATCCACCAATAACGGCGCCGTATGTCCATTGGTCGAGTGGGCCTGAAAAGACCTCTCCGGACGGATCCAGGTCTGCCCGGCCAATCATTGACGTCGTTCGGGCTCTCTTCATTACCTTGAAACGGAGCTCCACCTGCCATCTTGATCCTTGTCCGCTCCGCGTCAACATCCAGTATGCGTCGGATTATTGAGCAGAGTCAAAACGGTCATTTTGGCCGAGGGTGGCTGCAATTGTGACTATCACGTGGATAAACACGGCAAAGCCTGAAGACCGCCTTGCCGACCGCCCTTGTCCCTGCCAACATCCTACTGAATCCTCAGATATTCATCCACGCCCCTGAGACGTGCACTCATTAATGGGCCTGCCGTATACAATGACCTCGGGCTTCTGTCCAGTAATCAATCCACTAGGCTAAGGACTCCGCTGGTACGTATATTATTCTCACGGCCATCACTTCGACTGTGATCTCACTTTTTCCAAATTCTCGCTTTCGCGGGGCCAGGTGCAGACTGGGGAAATACATACATCCACCCGCGTTATTTGCATCCTCGCCCTTTGTACTATCCGGCACTAGACCATGCGATCCTGGCAACAATCTTAGGATGCCATGCGCAAAAATTGTGATCCTGCCAAGGACAATCATTCGTGCTATCGCATAATCGCTGGCATTATTATCTCGCATTTTCCAATTCTCAGATGTACTAATGGCCATCGAGACACCTTCAACAGGATGTCAATAATCCGTGTTCCGAGGCAGCTTGGCAGGTCCACCCGACAATGATCCTTGGAAGGCCCAGTTTTGGAGCATCTCTCCATTAAGACCCTCGTGTCAGGCTCTATTCAATTTTTGAAAACAAATATATAAAAAAAAAAAAAAAAGGGACTGATATACCTCCTAGAAAACCCCATGAAGTGAGCTGGACTGGGGCCACCAGGCGAGGCAATATGCAACAAAACGAAGTAGACCAGTAGTATGCCACAGCTGTGCGAAAACAGAGCGCTGGAAGATAAGACCGGCATTATGCATAACGAAGTAACTACATGAACCGAGGAAACAGGAGCAAGGTGTTGTGATGATACTCAAATTATTTGAGTGGTGCTGACCCAAAACGGAGTTTGATAGTCGAGTCCCCCATAGTCTGGCTACTTTCTAGTTGATGCGATCCTTTAGTGGGGTTGCACTTTGGCTTGTTCAGTGTCTGGACATTTTGCAAGGGTGAGGATGCGAGCATTTATTGCGGTATAATTATTTTATCTCCTTCCACGGAATCAGTATCTACCTCCACCATCACCTCCTTCCAAAATTCCTTCGCAGACTCATTCGTGACCCGACGGACGAACAAGAACCCTTCTAGCAATGAAGCCACGTCTTCCCACTCACTAAGAGATAACTCTCTCGCGAGGCTTTGAAGTCGTGAGACAAACCATGCATGACATCCGAATTTGGCAGAGGCAAAGGCACCATTGAAGAGAATCCAGAATAAAAGGTCGGGGGCTGACTTCTCTAGATATCCTAGAATCTCCTCCAAGCGCTCGCGTAGATTTCGAACAAGGCCTTCGACACTTGCTTGGAATTCCCATATCCGTGTAAGAATATAAAGCATGATTGTCTGTCGGATTGCCTCATTGAAAGGAGAAAGATCATAATCGAACGGCATTGAATGAATTCGATTACTTAGAAGCAGGGCAGCGTTGTGGTCGGGCAAGGCCAAATATGTGTTCAAGCGAAGGGTCTCCTCGTATATACAGATGACATCTTGTAGAGATCCAATCATCATTTTGAGGCGAGAGTGAATAGGAGACTTGAAAAAGCAAGTACCAAGTCGGGGATACCTTTTCCGAATAGGTCTTGCTCTCTCGGTAAGTGCTCCAAGAACCTGTGTCTCGAAAGCTTTCGGTATATCAAAGATTGGTGGGCAATCCCTAAGAAGACCTCGTATAGGATCACAGCTAAAAGGACAGTCAGTGAATTAAGAATCCTAGCCCTCTTCGCTTTGTCTCACTCACGAATAGATATTCGCTAGAGGCCACTCGCCTATTCTTTCCACACCACCTAAAGCCTCAACGATCATTCGAAGACCGTCACCATGGGCCTCAACTGCGTCCCAGTTCCCCTCCAGTGCCTGCGCAAGATATTTCAGAGACTATCATCGGAAAGGTGTCTCAGATTATCTTCACTGACCTCTGTAACAAACAGGTGCCCAATGATCAGCACTGCGGCTTCGGAGATTATCTCCGTTGGCTTATCCACTGACGCTTGGATGGACCGAATAACGTGAGACCGTATATAATAGGCGTCTTGTAGAGATCTTTTTACGACTTGACTCGATGCGCCTGGTGCTTGTGCTTTGAAATTCATCGCATAGTCATAAGCGCTCATTGACACGATGACTTCCATCAGTGAAGGGCGGTCGAAGGATTGGCGAAGTATACAGTTCAGCATTTCACTTTGACACCTTGGGTACCATCTACGTGAACCTTGAGCCCGGACTATCGGAATGGTTAGGATCTAGGACCTTCGTATAGCCACGAGCTTACTCACAATAGTCAAAGTAGAAATCCACACTCTGTTTTACGCGTACGGATACAGCAGGAAGAATATCTTCTACCTTTGGTTGAAGACATTGATGTACGCGGTTATTGCTCTGAATGACTGCGAGCTGATAGTCGTCTTTCTCCAAGAAAGTCTCATCGGTGGAAGTAGTGACTGGAGGAGATTGCAAGGGGGGAAGTGCTTTCATGGACGCTTTCAATTGTTGTAATTGCGTTTTGCGCCGCATTTTGTGATATTTCGTCTGCAAGAAAGCCTGTGTGGTCCGAGCGACCGCCGCATTCTGCGACTTTCCTTCTTGGCAGTCCACCCATAAGAATTCCGTCGAAGACCGAGCCCCTTCGTGAGATTGAGAGTCGGGGGCCGGTCTCCAGGCCGAATCCATATTCTTCGAGGGCATGGCCAAGGAACTCGAGGGGGCTTTGTGCGATTTAAGCTTTTGGACCTTATGCAGGCGAGCTTCCAGGCAGTTAGAAATCCAAATAACCACAGGACAAGGGCCTCTCCGGGTCTGGAAAGCGTAAGGCCACCCGGATTGATCTGAGTGGTGTGGCGACTAAACCGGGATGTCTGTCTCGGATGGTCTCCCTCAGGGAAGGGTCATTATTCTTGCGTGGATTAACATCAGCCGAGAGTGATTCCCCTGGTGGATTAACAGGGAAACACGGAGTACTTAGTTCGACCTTGGTTGAAGAAACCCGGTTGGGGTGAGCGCGGCTGAAGAGGTCAGGGTTGTCGGGTGGTCGTTCAGTCGGAGCCCCTCGATGTGAGTGGAGACTCGACCACGACTCGGGGGGATATGATTGGACCATTGTGAATGATCTCGGATATGCCCAGTGGAAGAGGATTTGCTCTTGTTACAGTGATGCGAGAACCCCCATGACTATTGTGTTTATAGCTTTCTCGAGCCTCCGGGATTAATGACTTGCTGGCTATGGCCATGAATAACCGCTGTTCGGGCTGTACTACGAACAATGAATTCTCTGTGGATGATTTGTGTAGTTGGACATGCGCCGAAGATATTATTTTTGAACTACCATCTGCATTGCATGATCGATAGTCGTGGTTCGTACCGATCATAAAAATTAACACTAATTACCCATTATTCAGATCCTCTAAGCCACAGTGTCTGGCTTTGTCTCCGACTTGGGCTCTTCCTTGCGCCGACGAGTATAATATTGTACGCAAAGGATCGCTGCCAGAACCCACGAAGCACCCGCCAGAGCACAGATTGCGGTGAGACCATGCAGATATTTGGGTGCATCTGCCGTACGGAAGATCTGTGAGCCGGAAATTCCCGCGCAATTGGCCGCCATAACAACCAGAGCCATCGCAACGCTGCGCTCTTGGGGGGTGCGGCAAAATGTAGACAGCCAGCCAACGTTCAGAATACTATCGTCACGTCAGTCGTTAGATCATCGCGGAAATCAAGGACACTTAACATACTGCATGCTGCAATACGACACGTTTGCTACTGCGATCACGCCGTATTTATGCCACTTCGAGGCGGTAGATGGAGTTGTTCGCAGGCAGGCATAGGAGATCACGTTCCACGTGATAGCTAAAAGCACAATAGGACCACGAAGGTTTGTCCAATCGCTAATCTCTGGGTCAGCTTCATGTGATTAGAAAAAGTTAGGTGACAATGGGATACGTACGCTGCGACGGCCAAAGCTGTCAGCCACACAATACCGCAGTAGACCGGGACCGAAGCGAGCACATTGGCCCGAATTGAACTGAAGCCCATCGTCTTAATCAGAGTGGGCGTATATTGGGTCAAGCCCTGGAAACCCGACATAGCAACGAGGGTCAAGAACACATGTTGCATGATTCGGGGCTGCTTGAGGGTTTGCCAGATATCACTACGCGAGATCTGAATATGGCCCCGAGCCTTGCGGGGATCATCCAACAGGACACGGTTCCGGATGATGTGCGATTCGCGCTCGGTGAAATAGCTCCAGCGGCCGAAGCTGATCAGAGCCCGACCGTCGCCGGCGCTGGGAGGTACCAGAAGAGTGAAAATGACTCCGATGACGAGGGTCATGACTCCCTCGACTAGTGAAGTGTTAGCACTTGACTTGGATATAGCATTCAACAATAGGAAAAGCGAGGAGCTGAACATACCGAGGAAAACCCAACGCCAACCCTCCAGACCATGGCGACCGTCGAGTTTCAGGAGACCAGCCGAGATCAAGCTCGACGTAGCCGAAGAAAACATCTGCCCATAAAAGAACAGACTCGTCCGAAGACTAGTCTCATCCTTCTTATACCAGGTGGAAACGTAGTACAAGGCACCTGCACGGAAGAAAAAGTTGCCATGTTAACAACCGGTGTACAACAGCGCGGCAGGCTTTCGCAACTTACCAGGAATGAAACCACCCTCACAGAGACCCAACAGAATCCTTGTGACCAAGAAAGCGGGATATGACTGTACAAAGGCTTGGAAGGTGGCAACGAGACCCCATGCAAATAACTGACCCGATAGCCATACCCGAGGCCCAACACGCTGCATTATAATGTTGGAGGGAATCTCGGCGAGCACGATTCCGGCGGACAAGAGCTGGCTGCCGACATTGATCTGATTGGTAGTGATGTGCAGGTCTTTGGTGATGGTGGAGGTCAAGACTGCACTGGTGTTACCACGGTCCAGCTGCAGAGCGAAAAAGGCGAGAGCAAGGATCGGGAGGAGGATAAAGTCGATCCTGTAGTTACGGCATGGTTAGTCTGTGACCCTCAAGTGTGGCAATTGACTATGCCCGTCGTATATAGACTCACTTGCGCTTCACAGAGGCCTCTTCGCCATCCCAGTCTTTGACGATGCCCTGATCGACTTCACTGGGTGGTGAATCGAGGACTTTTGCGTCCACGACATGCTTCTCAGACACGATATCCATGTCGGATATCCTGCGATCCGGGGTAGACGCAGTCATTGTGAAATATCGAGAGAAAAAAACAAAATCCCAGTGCAGAACTTATGACTGTGAGCTGCTCAATGCATAAAAATAACAGGAATATTAGATGTTCTCTAGTGATAACTAGGTATCAGCAAGGTTTTGCCTTGTTGATGTGATGATTCGAGCTCCAAACCGCGTGGGCGACCGGGGCTTTTAAATGATTTGAGCATCTCCATGGCCAGTCTCTTATCATATAAGATTGCGTGGGCGCTAGAAAAAAAATATAATCACGACGCAAGCTGCACTCCAGAAGGAATCGAATCAACCTTGTTTGGGGTCAAAGTGGCTCCGATGCTGTCGCGACACGGCGGAGAATTATGGCGCAATCATCAGTCGCTTAACGTGCTCCCGCCAACGCCTCCCCCAGAACGGACTATAACGGGCTGGAATCCTTTGGGTGCATATCTCGTGCTGGGTTCTTTTAATTCTTATTCGACCATTGAGCTCTCCGATTACTGGCAATAAGCCCTCGGCTACTGTTGATGTTGGCTGATGCAGGGGTGCACGCATTGCTCGGTACAGTAGAACTATGCGAGGACCAATCGCTTTCGACGGCTTCTTCAAGTCAGGAGAGGGGGGTTTTTTTTCAAAATAGCGGAATTAAGAGTTTGACACAGGGCCAAGACCCAGTAATCATGGTAAATGGTCATTATTATAGTTCATGGCCATCAATGATCTTATCCGACACGGAACGATACCGGGGATTACAAAATTCATGGAGTGCTCTTTCTATACATCTAAAGTACTACACCCAAACATCCCAGGAAACTCCGTACCGACTAGTCAGTGGCAACTGGGGGCCTTCGGCATCAACGATGTACCCAGGAGCACACCAGTCAAACGAGACCCGCGGTTGTGCCGCATAGAACGAGTCGTGCTCCTGATCCAGGGCATCTCGGAGGCTCTGGACAGACTGCTTGGGGTGGAGAACATTCCACGGGTCGATGCAGGTCGCCCCCTGGCAGGACTTTAACACGAGGAGTAGAGCATCTAGACGATTGATGGCGTCTGTCAAGCTACGACCAAGAATTTGGGGCCCATCTTGCTGAACGTCGGGGGTATAAAGGTTGTTCAATTGGTAGGGATCCGTCTAGAAGCTTGTTAGTGCGACCGATTCACTCGGGATGCTCTCAACCATTAATCTACTTACCGAAAGATCGTAGAGCTCGTGCTCGTTATTGCACCAAACCGAGTAATAGAGGTTGTAACCTTCTCCCAGAAGGCGAACGGATTTGTACGTGTTGTTTGGAACCATAGTCGACCCATCGGGGCCTACAGCGAGTAACTCGTCAGTAATCTGACAGGTGATAAGAGAATCCATGTCGAGAGATGGGAAAACTTACCAATTTGGCTATAGATTCCTTCCATGACAGCCCTTCCCCAGAACTCCACGGTGACATGCTCATGCCGAGTTCCACCAAAGTCCGGCGTCGCGGGGATTGCCGTGCCATCGAAATCTGCCCGGGGAGGAATCCCCGCGAGATTGAAGATGGTGGGCGCTAGATCAATGTGCGTCGTCACGGACTCCTGCACATAACCTTCTGGGACTCCCGGTCCTCGGATGAAGAGAGGAACGCGGATATCTTCCTCGAAGCCGCAGGTCTTACCCGGTGGCAATCGGTGCTGGCCGATATGGAAGCCATTGTCCGAAGTGTATATTATGTAGGTATTGTCCAATTGGCCACTCTCCTCCAAACGAGACACCAGCGAGTCCACCAATTCATCCACACCTTGCAAAGCACGCAGGCGAGAGCGGTAGAAATGATCGTTATAGTCGATTTCGGTCTGGTTCTGCTGGGGAAGATCGCGAACCCAACTGGCTCCACTGGGCTATAATATCATCAGATCCGAATAGAGTTCACCATAGTTTATTGAGAACCTACCTTGTCCGGATTGAAATGAGGGGTTCGGGGCACCTTCACATCCTGGAACAGGTGTGCATGGCGCTCGAGTGGGATAGGCGCGGTCATGACGATCTCGCCATTGGCCAGATCCCGGGGGTCGACATTGGAGTGCGGTGCCACGGGCGCAGCCACCACAAAAAAGGGCCGCTCTCCCTCCAATGCATCATCAAGGAAACCCAAGGCCTTCTCGGTAATAACGTCCATCGTATGCCGCCCTTCATAACTCACGGGGGCTTCGCTATGTCGTTGGTAGGTCGAGTTCATGTAGGAATACGTGTATGGATCCATGAGGAAATCGGAGCCATTGAAGCCATTGACATGAGGGCTATGGTAATTGTCAACGGTGTGAGCATTGAAGAGCTTGCCGGTGTAGTAAGTGTCATAGCCCGCTTCCTGGAGCCAGACGGGCAAGAAGTTATCGTTGAATCCCCTATCTACAAACTTGGGGTAACCGCCTGAAGGGAAGAAAATCTTGCGTTAGCCGTTGCGTTCTGCTATAACATGATCAAGAGATTCAAGTGCAGGGTGCTCACCGTATGGCGGGTGTACGTCGGTGACATTGGTGTTATGCGCTTGGCGACCGGTCCACAAGCTCACGCGAGACGGACAGCAGAGAGCCGTGGTGACAAAATGATTGCGAAAGAAAGTGCCCTTGCGGCGCAAGTGCTTCTCAATCAACGGCGTGTAGGAGATCGAGTCCAGCTCGAGGTCCTGGTCGTCGGTGATCACAAACAGAATATTTGGCGGCTTTGATGAATGTGATTTGCCCAAACTCAACACCGACTGCAGGGCATTTTGGAATTGAGATCCTAGAGGATCAAGGGCTGCACCCTCTGCGGCGACTATCAAGCCGGCGACCGCGGCGAGGAGCTTCATGGGGAGCTTTGGGCAGTGGTGCAGGAGGAGAAGCGGAGGAAGCGGAGGAAGCGGAGAAAGAGAAGAGGCACGGTAGCGCTACGCAGATTTTAGGGAATCAATTTAGTTTTATGTATCGGTGATGGTGTCGAAGTGGACCTGGATGCGGAGAACAATGGCATCATATTATTCTTTTTTTTCCTATTTCTTTATCTTCATTAGCGCTTGGCTCAATGTCCAGATAGCAAGCTCCCCCAGCTGCATCTCGCGTTCGGTGGAGTAGTTCCGAGCCGTCGGTCAATTCAAGCGCGATGGATCCCACGGTGGGGAAAGGCCTCAATGATGCCATCGTTGGCCCAGATGGCGCAGTGTATTTTCCTTTCAGACTTTTGCCGAGCAACTCTGGATTCTAGATTTCTTCTGTTGCCATGCCCTGTCGACGACTCGCATCTGCCGAGGGGGTCGGCCCGGGGCATGGCGTGCTTGACGCTCCGAATGAGCCTGGAAGACAGTCGGGACGTGATTGGGTGGCTCATTGATCCTTTCAGGAAATGCATAAATTCTATGGCTGCAAATTCTAGATCGTACACATGGAGAAAAACCATAGCCAATCGCAGAATTGTTCCTAGTGTAGCCCGAATCCGATGAACTGTCCTGCTTGACGCAGTCTGCCTCTCTTGTGGTCTATCGTATACCTAAAAGGCGGTACGCGATGGTTTTCATCAAATATTGTTTTTATTGTACATCTGCCGACAACGGCTTATAGTGGCCGACTGAAGAACGATACGGGTGAATATATATACGTGTGGATATGTCCAAGGAGATGATTAAACCCCCAACTCCCCAGAAACACCAGAGCCATCATCCGTGATTAGAGAAGCAGGCCAGGATTGCACGTAATCCCAGCCGAGACCATAAGAACCCCCTAGATTTCATAGAGCCAACCCGGTACCCTTGCGCGTCCATCGATACAACGCCAACACGGCCTTGCGGCGATGCCGAATCTCACTAGGGTTCACTGGCCGCCCGCGAGCTTGAGCGACAGCACTGCGCATCACCTGCCGGAAACTGCGTTGATATTCCGTATTCAGCGTCACCACGCACGACTCCGTCGCCCGGATCATGGTTTCGCAGGCATTGAGAATCCCGTCGCCGGCTTCCTTCTGGAGTCGCTCCACGATCAGGAGCAAAAGAAAGCTTCCCTGCAGAAGCTGGATACCGAAAAAGTACGGCATAAAGCTGATATCTGGGTCGAATCGGAGGATTTGCTGGACGGCGTCTGCCGCCTCCAGTGCGTGGGAGATGGTCGATGCGAACGCCGGAGAAGAGGTCCAGAAATCCTTGTCTTCGATGAGAGAGACTGGGTCCCATTTTCCGACAAGCAGAATATGGAGGACGTGTACTAGGTAGGATGAATACGCGATCACGGTTTGTGTATGCCACGAATAAGCCTGTGACGAGGACGCATCGGTCGGTTGATCGGGTTTGTTGGCATATTGAGCGGACAAGGAAGTCTCCGGGTCGGCAGCAGCAAAAGTCGTCAGACTAGCTTTGTAAATCTCCAGCTGTCGAAGGACCTCCGACACGTGCACCTCCCATGCCTCCTTTCCTTGCAGCCGAAGCCCCAGGGTAGGGTGATTTCGTGCTTGGTTCAAGTCGATCAGTTCGCCCGTGATCGTCATCAACGGTAAAAAGAAGCCGAGTATAGAGTGATCATGACAGATAAAATTTGGGAAAACGCGGCGCTTGTTGCGATCGCCCGATCGGACGCACTGCGGTCCGTCCGCGCGCGGACTGTTGCTATGGATGTTGCCTGCCTGCCAAGCAGCCTCGTCCAAAGGGAGCAACAAGTCCTCACTCTCTGCATCCAAAAGAGCGAGCGGCCGGTTATAACACAAAGCGAGATGACGGTCCATGATATACAATAGCCACCACGTGCGTCGACGCTCCTCGCGATGCTCTTCCGTCACGGGGGCGTTACTCTGCCGGTCATGCTTATCCTCACAAACGCAATTCAAACTCGGTCGGGATGGATTTGAATAATCAAAGACGGGACCGGCCGGGGAACTTGCCCAACCACCCAAGGGGTAGCCAAAGGATGGACTAGATCCATCAGTCTGACTGTCAATATTGGGCATGACCTCGATTTCTTGATTCAATTTGAGTTCTCGGGCTAGAGTGAATGCTGCGTGCCACCTGTACATGGAATTAGTCGCTGAAGAGAGACGGAAAATGATCTTGCGCATTAGATTGTCCTCTTCCAACTTACCATCGCATACTCGCAGCCTTTTGTTCGCTCGAGGAGATGATCGACGCGACATGGATGTATGTAATCACATCGTCCAAAGACCCCGCAGGGCCCACGAGACCCTTGTCATCACCGACTCCCTCGAACGGATGATGAGCCGATGTGGCTGAATAGTCCTGCGGCGCATTGGAATTCTCTGGGGGCTCCTGATCCTTGAACGAGACGTGAATCAAAGGCCGCAGCAATCGAATGGTCAATGCGCACAGAAATTGACAAATCTTGCGACGTTGTAGCGGAGAGATGGATAGAGAGAATGCCCGGTCGTCCACTGCCGCGACCCAAAGCATACTCGCCAATAAAGCCGGGCTGCTAGGTCGCGGCCGGTCCGCACTCAGGAAGGACGCCTTTCGCAACACGTAACAGTGGATGTGGTGACACACCGGATGCATATGAGTCGAAAACGAGCTTGTAAAATAGAGCTCTAGTAGATCACAGACTAGACGACGTGGGAGATTAGACTCCAGGAACGGCATGACTGGTTCTAGGACGGGGTACTTCAACCCCGGCCGTTTGGAAGGAGAGGCTCCCTGTCCCGCATGGGTTTGCGCAGGTACCGGGGGGAGCTGCGAATGCCGCTTCGGGGGGTGGTGGCCCGCCAAATCCCCCGGAGTCCAGATATCCCAAAGCCGTGGCAGTGGCCCATCACCCCCGTGTACCCCTCCCAGAATATCATAGGACTCGGGCGAGAGGTGTGCAGTCGACAGCCATTCCTCCGTCGCATTCCCTTCGGGCCGGGGTACGGATCCAGGGCCGGGCGCTGGCCCTGGTCGCTGCGATCGCGAGCTGTCGACCGCCGAGTGCGGCCCGTCCACGCTCGGCGCAGACAAACTGATATCATTCGTCGTGGGAGACCGGTGTTGGAATGTCGATTCTGGGGAACTCTGCTGCTGTGGCGGGGATATGGCTGGTTGTCCGGAGGGTTTCCGGTCGAGCGATTCTTCCATCTGGGGCGCAAAGTGCGGAGGCGCCTCGCCGGGCCCGGTCGACCCATTCACCAATTTCGCACGCGCAATGCGCCCGCGCTTGCGACGCTCACGGGTGAATTCACAATGGGTGTCGCTGCGCAGGCATCGAGAGCAGGGAAACGCGCGGTCGCATCGGACCCGACGGGTGTGGCACGAATCGCACGCAACTCGATTCCGCCGCCAGCGGCGCTTGCCATTGGCCAGGTCGACTGGACCAGGAGTCGTCGCGTCAGGGTCCCCAAGCTGGGAGTCCATGGCGATGGAGATTCAGGTCGTCATTGGGGGGAAGAGAGCGAAGCCAGAGGAAAAGAGAAGGAGTGGAATTGAAATTGATAAAAAGGGTGAAGCATGAGAGGAGAGGAGAGGAGAGAAAGAGAGCTCGGGGAACGAGACGAGCGCGGGGAAAACGTGGCGCCGTGTCTTACGCTTGCGTCCACTCACGAGGTTCGCTTGGAAAGGATTGCCTTTCTAGCTGGGGGGAAAATACTTAGTGCACAACGTTGATTCCGATCCGCCTTTATTGGAATAGACTTGATGTTTATTATACAGGGAAAAGTCGACCCGAAAAGGGCACAGTCGTAACGGTTTCTCGAGCTTGGGCCCGCCAACGATTTCCCCAGATCCCCCCAGAGATGTGAATCCGGTCCTTTTTTTTTTAGGAATGTCGAACTCCAGACGCTAACGATCGGGATGGGTCTCATGACCTCCTCTTTTCCCCTCTCCACCCCCAATTTCCCGAGGAGATCTCCTCACTTCTGGAGCGCACTCTTGTACCGGGCCAGGGCCCGATCCCGACTGGCCACATGCTCCACGATCGGCCGAGGATATCCAGTCTTTTGCGCGATCGCACCGGCACCCCGGGCGTACGGCTCGTGGATGGCATTGCCCTTGACATCACGCAGCTCCGGCACCCATTGTCGAATGTATTCGCCATCGGGATCGAATCGCTCACTTTGTCGCAGTGGGTTGAAGATGCGGAAATACGGTTGGGGGTCTACCCCCGTGCTCGATCCGAATCCCCAGCCTCCGTGGTTGGAGGCGAAGTCACCATCGATCAAATGTTCCATGAAGAACCGCTCGCCTCGGCGCCAGTCCAGCATCAAGTCCTTGGACAAGAATGACGAGACGACCATGCGTGTGCGATTGTGCATCCAGGCGCAGTGCTTCAGCTGTCGCATCGCGGCATCGACGATCGGGAACCCGGTCTTGCCGTCGCACCACGCCTGGAACTGATCCATATCGTATTCCCACTCAATGTTGGTGGCTTCGGGCTTGAAGCACTTGTTCATGCTGTGTGGGCCCGTTAGCCTTTCATCCTCGAATGATCATTGCACCAGTGCTATTCCAAAGGGTGAGACCCATTCAACGTACCAGATAAATGGCCAATGCACAAGTACATGGCGGTAGAAATCACGCCAGGCTACCTCGCTGATCCAGGTCATATGGCCCTGATCGTACCGATCAAGCTGGTTCTTGTTGGCTCGTTTCGCCGTCACTACGGCCGTGCGAGCACTCAGCGCCCCGGACGCGAAGTACGGACTGAGGACGGAGGTGTTCTCTCCGGGCAGCATGCTGCGGTTAGTATCGTAGTCACCACATTTCTCCTTCAAGAATTTCTCCAAGCGACGCGTGGCCTCATGCTCGCCTGCTGGGTAGAGCTCTTCGAATCGTTTCTTTTCCTCGTCGGAGAGCATTTTATTGCTGGGCAGAGCCGGAATCTGGCAGTCGAACAGGTCGGCATATTGCTTTCGGGCATTCCCCGGGTTGGTCCCGGGATCTTCGGACAACTCCAGATAGCCCGGGTTCTCCTTGAGGAAATGTAACCACGAACGAAACCACGGTGTGTAGACCGCATACTGCTTGCCCGAACCAGTGTTCAACATCCCGGGCGTTACCACACAGGTATCGTGCGACGGGGTAAAATTAATATCATGATCGGCACATCGCCGGACCACTTTAGCATCCCGGCGCAGCTCATCCACTTCGTACTCGAGGTTGGCACACAGATGCTTCGCCTCCCACTTCTGACACAATTCCACGATACGATTCGGGATGTTCTTCCGCTTCTCCTGGATCTCGACGTACAGCGGAATGTCCAGCTCTGACAGATCTCGTTGAAGTTGTTTCAACGTTCGCAACGTCAAGTCGACGCGGGCGGGACTTGTCAGATGGGCCTCAAAGTCTTCCGGCGACACAATGTAGACCGTGATCAAGGGAATCTGGTGCTCCTTGGCAATCTGAAAGGCAGTGCTGAGCGCTCGATTATCTTGAAGACGTAGATCGGACTTGAACCAGTGAACCACCGCCTTGCCCGGCGTTATGGCGCGGCGCTTGTCGGCCGTTTCTTTGCACGCCTTTTCCAACGCGTCAATGGGTCGTTCAATAGTTCCATTATTGTAGGCCATGCATCGGTCATTGCTCATCTCCGGTGGGTAAAAGTCGCGCAGGACGATTCCAAACTCCTCTGTCCGTTTTGCATTAGGGTGTGGTTGCCGAAGATTCTCGGGCTTCCCTCGTTTGCTATCATGGCCATTCGCAGTTGGACCGTGGCCGTTCGAGTCGGACATTTTGCGTTTGGGCGCCATTGAAGGGACACTGTGACGAAATCGAGTTGTTGATGGATGAGCTTGGATCGGTGAGCTTCCGAGAGATCTTCGGAGACGGGAGGTATGCAAGGACGGGAGGGTCTGAAGAGACGGACAGGAGTGATAAGAAAGCAAGGAGAAGCAGCGACGAGGAACACGTAAAACACGCATCGCGTTGGGTAGCCATGATTGGCGCGGGTGGTCTCCTTATTTCAGGGCCTGGACAAAACGCGTCGGCAGTCATCGATCGGGCGATCGAGATTCCTGACGTCACCCGATCTAGGATCGCGTTTGTGGTCGCGCAGCACAGCTTCAGCTTGAGGGCGTGGCCTCACCCCGGATGAGGCTCATAATCGAATGATGCATTTTTCAATTACGGGACAGTCTCTTCAGTTTAGATGTCTTTGGAGAGGCATCATTGAGGGATCCCGTTGGCTGGTGACTCAACAAACTCGACGGGGAAGATGCGATCGAGAGACTGGTCCCACGTGACCCTCTCGCCATTTAACAATGCAGTCGTCAACGAGACATGCCAAGCAGGATCCAAAAGGGAAAATGATATTTTGGGGCAGAGATATATGCTGTCACCGATGATCAAGATCCCACTAGGGACTGCTAGCTATAGAGTACAATACCAGGGCTAGGATCTCATCTCGGATAGTCCATCGCCCCGCATGGAGCCCGAGATCTGCGCTAGTCGATTAGTTCGATCGAGGGGGCATTAGCGCCGGGGCAAATCTTTGAAGTTCCAGTCCAAAGTACATGACGATAACAGTCACGACGTTGACGAGTCATCCAAGGGCCCTGACGAGGAACCACCGGCCTTAATTTGGGATTGCTTGATCCACTGCCCCAGCTCTCCCAACCTTGGAGTATTCAGCCCCAAGATACTCCGCATTTTCACGCGTCGCTCTCGCCAGACGTAGTCCACGGGGTCCCATGGTCCGGCCACCAGCCAAGGTCCGAGATGTCGTCTCGAGAGCACGCTATGAGAAGTCCGGTCACATTGCACATCGCCAGGAGTCCTTGCATACCTTTCTCTATTTATGAATCGGACGGTCGCACACCTCCCGTCCAAGATCACCTCTCTCTCTGGACGCTCTGGCGACCAGTTGGTCCATCGTGAGGTCCCAACCAACCTTGCCGACGAATGCAGAACTCTAACGTCGCCAAAAAGGCCTGCGATTTCCTTCCCCAAACTCTGAATCGTCCTCGTCCTCCTCAGCGCCAGCGCTGCCACTCCTCACTTGATTCGCGAGAAGCTGCGCCGTTGATCGGCAGACGTGATCGACCGCCGTATTCGTCCAAGGGCAACGGCCTTTTATTTGATTTTATTTGATTTTATCTTTTTTGGGCTCACACACAAGCCACACTCATCCCTTCCATCCTGCGGGATCCCTCAGCTGTGATCCTGATCCTCCCTCTCCCTCTCTCCCTCTCTCCCTCTCCCTCTCCCTCTCCCTCTCCCTCTCTCTCGACCTTCCTCTGCGCAATGTGACCCCTCCATCCATGTCAGCGCAAGCCTCCGGTGTCGGGGACTCGCTGCTGCACCCCGACCCATCCAAGATCCCAGTTCGCACCGAGATCTTCGCAGCCTTTGCCGCCATTGCCTGGTACAATGCCATCGAACTCATCGTCCTATGTTTCGTCTCCTTCAAACGCCGCCGCGGCTGCTATTTCTGGAGTCTGCTAGTAGCCTCCTCCAGCATCGTCCCACATTGCTTAGGCTACTTCCTGCTGTTCTTTCCCACGGGGGTGTCACCCTACATCTGCGTCACGCTCATCGTCTTCAGCTGGTACGGCATGGTGACGGGTCAATCGATGGTACTATGGTCGCGTCTCCATCTAGTCTTGCAAAATACCAAGATTCTCTGGGGCGTCCTTGGGATGATCATCGTAGACGCCATCCTCCTCCACATTCCGACCACGGTGTTACTCTACGGAACGGCCGCAGCCCCCCTCAGTGTATGGGCGCACGGATACGGTATCATGGAGCACATCCAGCTCGTCGGCTTCTGCATCCAGGAACTGATCATCTCGGGACTCTACGTCTGGGAAACGGTCAAACTACTCCGACTCCGACCTCAAGGCCGACCACACGGGATCCTCCATCAACTCCTCGTCATCAACATCATCATTCTCCTCCTCGACGTGGCTATCGTCGTGATCGAATACGTCGGCTACTACGCCGTCCAGGTTATGTTCAAGCCCGTCGCGTACAGTATCAAACTCAAACTCGAATATGCCATCCTCGGCAAGTTAGTCGCCATCGCCCAGGGTATGCAGACCTACAACGACGATGACGGACCTTCCAGCACTCGCGAGATGACATCCTGCCCCTCATCGCAGGAAACGCCCCTGCGTCCTGGTTTGGGGCCAGATTCTCATCGCCTGTACAGTTTCCCATGGTTTTGGGACACTTCGCACCAGTCGAGTTGTACCTCTTCCGGGATATGAATATACCAATGGACGTCCAAATGAATGAAAATCGGTGGGAATCACGATTCGGCAGCCCCATAGATGTCATGTGGATGATGGTAGTAATAGACCTCTGCATGGTGAATGCCTGACGTTACGCTTATACCCTATTTCTCTTTTTCCGCCCTGAAATTAAAGGTGTCATGTACCCTATGCCAGTTTCGGTCTCCATGCATAATCATAAAAGGGCTTCGTCCATTCGAAGCAAATCAAATCATGACCAAATATGCATATCCAAATATAACGGAAATCCAAATCATCAGTAGACATCAGTAGGTATCACCGGAAATTCTCGAACAAGCCAGAGTGCACGCCAGCCTGTAGCACCAGCACGCTGCCAAAGACCTTATTCTCGGGCTGTACCATCGCCGAGGCCACGGGCCCAAGGGCTCGCTGAGTATCGGTACCGACACTCTGCGCACCCAGATCGATTGCAATGCTAGAATTAACAGGGCCACTACGTCTTCCGACGACCACCATATTACCATGCTTGTTGGCCGTCAGATCGAGGTCCTGTTGCACGGCGGCCACCGCCAGCTGGACCGGGTCACTGATCGTCTCCTGTACGCCAGCCTGCTGGAAAACGACACGGTCATTCAGATCCTCCGATATAGAATCACGCAGAGTTTCGAAAAAGATGAGATCTGACTGGCTATTCGGTGTTCCGGTATGCGTTCCAGACGAAATGGATGTCGATACCCCGAGTTTGCTTGGGTCCGAATGCTGTCCTGGGATGTGGATAATACTCGCGGTGACACTTTCATTCTGAGCGAGTTGCAGAACGAGCCGTATGGCGAAACGGTCATCGTCACCACCGAAGAATGGGAGTACAATATGACGAGAGCGATTTCCAGAAGCTGGTCGCGACCAGACGGAATGAATGCTCATTCCACTGGTCGAGCGCTGGAGAGTGGGCCGTTTGGTAGTGCGAGGGTCTGGGTTGTGCTCAATCAAGATACCGACGGGGCCCGGGACCCGCTCTACGACGCTCGAGACAAAATCAGTGTAGGGACCATTGGCAAATCGGTTTGCGGTATCCACTTCAAGACCGCTTTGACGGTCAGCCAATGTTCCAGTTTCGCTCCATGGAAGCAAGAGGAGATCCGCCGTGTCCTGGTGGGCCATGTTGACGACCGTTTCGGCATATGAATACTCAGGTATCACGGACACGCCCGCCATAAGAGAGACGTCTTGCCACTCGCCAAAGGCACGGAAGGTGTTCACCACTGGGTCCCACATGGCATGCTCTCCAGCCGAAACTTTCATGACACTCGAGTCACGATCTGTCAATTCCATAAGACGCACGCCATGCACACACAGAGTGGGCTCCTTGTCATCCTCCGACGTGGCTGCATCCTCAATGGTTTGCTCGGCCCGCTTTGGCCTCTTTGACGGGTGAACATGGGGCGATGATACCGCTACTTCGTGTTTGGGGCTAAGAAGAGCAGCCAGGGTGCAAATTCCTGACAAGCCATCCAGGCGAAGATAGACCAGAAGCTTGCGAACGGGTACCGTCTTCAGCTGATCCTTGACTACAGAGACACTATTGGATCGGGAGTCTCCCTGAACAGGGTTCCCATCCCAATCGATTTCTCCACGTCGCCAACGTGCCACCTTGACTTGATACCATGTTGGATAGAGGATGGTCGTCAGCGGGGTAGTAATGAAAGTCGTAACCAAAGCCATCACCACGAAGATGGTGAATGTGCGGGTACTCAAAATCTTGGCTTGCAAACCAATGTTCTATCGTGCAAATGTCAGTACTTCTTGTCCTTACTTCCCTCCACAATGTCCCGAAGAGAGGGGGGGGAATTGACGGGCACGAACCAAGACAATCAACTCAACTAGACCCTTACAGCTCATCAAAACACCAATTGAGAAGCTCTCGCGCCAAAGCATTCCGCACCAACGAGATGCAAGAGCGCCTCCGGCCACCTTGGCAACAAAAGCAATGGCAATGACACCAACCACATAGCCCCAGACGATGCCACTGTTTAGCAACCCCAAATTGGTGCTGAGGCCAGATAGTGTGAAATAGAGTGGTAGGAAAAGGGCTGCAACCAGATCTTCAATCTTCTCCGTCAATTTGATAGCAAACCCACCTTCATGGGGGCAGATCAGTCCGATCACGAATCCACCGAAGATGGCGTGGATCCCAATGGCCTGCGTGAAGAACGCGGACGCAAGCACAATAAGTAGCGTCAAAGTCACCACCGACTGGCTAGGCCCCTTTTGCAAACTTCCTGTCCGCTCGAGGAAGCGGTATAAGAGTGGTTTGAAGACAAGGAACAGGAAAAGCATGTATCCTATACAAACGAGTAGGACCCAGAGGGCAGTGAGACCACTTCCTGCGTTGACAAGGGCGACGCAAAGGGCCAGTAGAATCCACCCAACGACATCATTTCCAACACCGGCGGATAAAACGATGACGCCGACTCGAGTGCCGAGAAGTTTCAGCTCGGTCAAGATACGGCACAACACTGGGAAGGCGGTGATCGCCATCGCAATACCAATGAACAGGAGGTATGTACCAAATTTGATAGGCACCGTCGAGGGATCATCATGAAACTCGTTGTAAAGACCGTAGGAAATTGCACTTCCCAGCCCAAATGGCAAAATCATACCTGCTGCGGAAACGCTCAATGCCACGCGCCAGTTGCTCGCAAGGAATCGAAGATCCGTTTCCAGTCCCACGAGGAACAGGAATAGGACCAAGCCCAGGTTTGCAACCACATTGAGGCTTGGGATGCTAGCAGTGGGGAAGATGGCATCGGTGAAGCCTGGGATACGGCCCATCACCGAGGGGCCTAAGATGATGCCACCGATAACCTCTGCAATGACTCGAGGTTGACGGATCTTTGAAAGTGGCCAATGAATCAGGCGACAGAACACGATGATTATTACAGCCTGGCGGATGCACGGTCAGTCATGACGGGTCGGTGTGGGGTCCCCGGGGAGGGTTGAGCAGCAAAGCTTGAGAGGTATCCATACCTGAATGATAAACAGAACCAACGGGTTCTTGGAATCGTAATGAGTTGGGTTACCTCCCTCAAGGATCCCGCCTTGAGGGCTCACCTTGACGGCGCTGGTAGCCGTAGCCGTGGCCGTCGTCGTCGCAGTGCCAGTCACCATGGTTGACGAGGGTGGAAGAAGGAAAGAAACAGCTCAAGGGGTGGAAGAAGGAAAGAAACAGCTCAAGGAGGGGAGGGGAGAAAGAACGGAGGATCTCATGACGGCCCCCATCCACCATCCAGCCACAAATCGGTGTCCACTGTCAGACTGGCTCTCCAATCCGATTCACTCGAGCTAGCCCAGATCTTGGCGCCATGGGAAAGCGGTCGGGGATTGGGTGGAGGGAGAACAAACGTCAGCTACGGGAATAATGATCACTAAAGAAACGGGTGGACCACCTAGACTTCGGTTTCGGAGGGGCGAAAGAGATTAAGTACGCACTAATCCGCTTCCGGAAAATGGCAGCAACGTGGGGAGATTCGCCGTAGCGCAGTCAGGTGACCTCGGAAAGATAAGACCTACATTTGCAGGCGATGAGTCACGTGGTATCACGTGGTAGTAGATCGATGTTCTGGACTCTTACGAGCACAAACGCGAATATCGAGTCTAAATATTCATGATCGCTGTTATCCAGAGCATAAGTAATACTGTCATGCTATGACAAGATTTCAGTGACCCGGTTCTTCACCTACCCCGTTATGGTCCTGATGCCCTGGGACCAAGGATGGGATGGCCGTTCCCGAAATATATTTACCAAAGGTATACCGACGAAGAGCTGAGGAATGTCAGGGGTCCTTGATTAACACCGAGCTTAACCTTGGAAGCTTTTTGAATGATGTGTATTAAATAGTAAACCTTTAGTCATAAAAATATCTAGATGGATGGAATAGCTCAAATCTATTTATCGCAGGGGTTGGCAGTGGAAATTTCTCTCAAAGAGGCTGTTAGACCTCGACACGGCCCATGGGCCGCCCATGGGCGGCCCATTGGCCCAAAAATGAACCAAAATAGAAATCCCCGTTAGCTGCATAAATTATGCCATTCCTACTTGCATTTCTTAGTATTTTTGGTATTTAGATTACCCTCAATTTGAATATATCGATGAGTTCTACTGATTATGAAGAGAAAAGCAAGTCTGGTTTACATGAATTTCTGGTTGCTCTACTTCACACTTATATACTACTACCCTTTAATATATCTATGGAGCCGTATAGATGGGACTCGAACCCTACCAGAGACACGCTGCCGTACACTGCTTTCATAAGGCAATAGGACCATATCCTCCTCCTTATCCTCATCCTTAACACTAGCCTCAACCTAGTGGTTATCAGGCCTAGGTCCCTTATTTATATCTATCCTTTGTCTCTTCCTAAGCGATGTTTGGCTTCGTATCTCAATAGAAGACTTAATAGAAGCAAAAAGAGACTTATCCTCTTCGTTATCACTGATTGGATCAAAATTCTCACTCGGTTACCTGGTATCCGTTTCTTCTTCCGCTGATTTAAGCTCTTGTTCGGTCGCTAGTTCTCGGATAAAAGCAAGCTGCTCCTCCTCTACTTTAAATCTAGTAGTGCATATAAACATCATGAGATCTTGTATGGTTGTTGTATTTAATGAGCCCCTGCGGTAGTGGTAGATATCGCGTGCTGAGTTAAATAACCGCTTAACACTAGCGCTAGTAGTAGGGACAGAGAGAACGTCCCGTGCTAGACTTATAAGCGTAGGAAATTCATATTGATGGTCTCTCTAAAACTGCCGAGGGCTAATTGAGATAGTTCCTATTATAGGACGTATTAGAAAAAGGTTAGCTAGGTTAGAGAGGATAAGGTGATAGATATCTACCTCCTCTTAGATACTCTCTTAGTTCATCACGCTCGCTAGGTTGTGTCCTCTCGGTATCTTATGTAAGTAAGATATTAAGCTCTGATGTCTGCACTGATTTCTTGGCCTTTAAGAGAGACTACGAGCTAGTAAGGCCTTCTTTGTAGTCATTAAGACGGGACTTAAGGCTTTGGCGATACTGGGTACTGAAATCCCTGTCTGGATCCTGCCAGTCGGGTGTTGAAAAAAACTGTAACTTATACTGCGGGGCAAGAATAGTCCTAATTATATAGATATCACCGAGATCTTTGTTATCTGTTAAGGTATAGTACTCTCGTAGCTTCGTTTCGGTAGATTAAAGAGCTTTAAGCATCTGTTGCTTCTAAGGAACCTTTTTCCGCCGAAGCTGGCGAATAGATAATTCTAGGTGGTCAAAAAGCTTATTGTATATGCTGAAAACGCTGTGAATAGTAATATCCTTGGTTTTGGAAAGCGTAGTAGTGAATTTGAAGAAAGGCTGTGTGATCTAGAGGAGATATTCGATCTGGCGCTATTCCTCTCGGTTAATTTAGAGATTAGGATGCCTATACTTAGTATAGAACTAATCGAACGCGGATTGGAGCCGTTTAGCCCGTCGAAGCATTAAGAATGTCGAATTCTAGCGTGTTCGGATATCTTGAATCGGCACTAACTTCGGTTATTCGGTCTAAATGTTTAAAAAGGACTCCCGTCGCTAAGGGCTTACGCTAATAAAAACTACGAGGTCTCGAATCTAAAAGAATAGTTAGGAGGTGATATAAAGGAAGGGGTTGGTTTAATGGCTGAATGAATCCAAACTTTACGTAGTATATTCGCGATACCTCGCTTTTAGGCCTTTCGATAAGCCGACTAGGCTTGCTCTTCCGACTAAATCATCTCTCTCGTCTCATTCTTCGGGTTGGCCTTTATATGACTAAGTAGCTACTTCAAACTTAGCTAGATGACGTAGGCGATACAGGGAATACGAATAATAGTAGCTCTATAATATATATCTAAGGATTATAGTGAATCCTGGATAGTTAACATCATTTTGCTATTATTAGATGTATTGTTAGTCGTAATAGTAATTACCCGTTCCGGTATCTAGTGCTACTAGAGTAAATCAAATAGTACCGAGCCAAGATTAACGCTAGTATGCCTCTTATATAGAGGTTCAAATCTAAGCAGAATTTCCCGATAGTTCTAGTCTTTATCAATAAAATAGCTAGTGATAGCTATAAACGCCTGCTGAAAGGGAGAAGTCCAGCAATCTAGCGCGAGTAAGAGCTTTGCCTTTGGCGGAAGCTTCGCAAGAAGATGGGTCTGTCTCTCCTTCATAATCTCTCGCATACGACGCTAGATGCTTTTAGCGTAGGGAAAGGTAGGAAGTGAGGGTGCTGACTACGTTATACGAAGAAGCTTTTGAAACTACGGGTGCTTAATTATTTGAAATGGAAGGCGAAGAGTGGTGATTATCCTAATAATCTCTTGCTACTAAGCTTCCTCGGTAAAAGAGGATATAACCAGAGGGGAATCTCGAGCCTTATAGAAAAGGTAGTTAGCTCCCTTATAGCCTATCATCTTATTTTAGTAGGAGTTAATACCGCTTGCTCCATTAACCGCTGTATACTTAGCTGTTTAACTGCTTATCTCCCTTTCCGGCATGACTCTGTTTTTAAATACCTTCGAAGCGCGTTTGTTCTATTTAAGGTGTGGTTTAGATGATTAAGAATCTTTTCACATCTCTTATATATCACCTTTGGCTCTCTAGTAATATAATAGGCTACTTACTCGAAATAGACCTATATATCTGAATGATGGCCCCGTCCATCCTAATGCATCTTCTTCTTCTCATCGTCCGCTACTCCAAACTATATATTAAACCACTAGTTAAGAAATTCAGCACTTATTATCTCTGTATAAAGTACCTAGGTTTTCCTCCGGTCGCTAACACGTTATAGAGTATAAGGGATCGAATCCGGTAAGGCGTGTCACGGGCCAGTGCCCGATATAGGTCACGTGTATCACGAGACCTTGGCATGTTGACGTAGAGAACGCGTAGGATAAACTTCCCCTCCTTAAGCTTTTTGTAAACAGCATATTGGCCTAGTTAGATTGAATCAAGTCTTACTTTAGCCCTTCACATACAAAAAGCTTCCTTCTATACTTAGAAGTATCATTGGTTATTAGAAAAGCCCTAGGAAAGCGACCTAGGCACTTATTGGAAAGCCCCCTAAATCTCTAGTGATTCAGTGACGAACAGCGATTAGAACGGAATCCTCGCGTATAAAACTCTTAGCGCTCGAGACGTATTGGAAAGCCTTAGGAGATCGTAATTCCTAGGCATATTAGAATATTGGACGAAAAGCGACCGACACATTACCGGCACGCTATATAACCCCTGGTAGCTATGCAGCACCAGGAATCGACGAGCCCTCCTGGGTGGGCGCAGACGCTATTGCAGTAGTTAGCATAGACCTAGGCTATGCAGAACGAAGAACGAGAGCGGCACTACTAATAGGAAGCTGTATAAGAAGAACGGATGCGTCGTCTCGAAGCAATGTTAGAGCGCTAAGCCTCACTGGCCACGACGATAACCACGATAAACGAAGGATAGGCGACACCAGCCCGATCGGCTACCGAACCGGTGCCGATTCCTCCACGAATAGAGATTATTCACCGACCGAAGCCCCGTCTCCCGGACCTAAAGCCATTCGGTGGAAGCACGAGCGACTAGCTAACCTGGCGAATTTCGATTGAGAATAAGCTTAGTGTAGACGGCGAAGCTATTGGTTCTCCTTAGGACCAATTTATATATGTCTTCTCTAGACTAGAGAAGCTTACATAGAAGAACACCGGAACCTTTGTGAAACTCCGCCGAGATACTGACGAACCATAGGCCTTACTCGACTACCTCGAGAATATCTATGGAGACCCGAATGTTAAAGTACGCGTAGCTAGGCGACTTCACTAGATTCGGCAACCGGAAGATATGAGCTTTTCTAGGTTCCTACCACGGCTAGAAAAGGAATTCGCTGATGCCGACGCTCTCGAATAGTATGACGAGGCTAAGCGATAGATTCTCCTCGGAGCACTTAATAAGATAATGACGAATTCGTTAATGAATCGGGGTATTCCCGCCACCTTTTCGGACCTGATCTCTCGGCTACACGAGATAAGCTCCGATATAGATGCCCTTAATATCACTAAGGCAGAACGGCCGCGTCGGCCGCGTTCGCCTAGATAGAACGACGACGAAATAGATTGGACGCCTATTATGT